GCACACATCGTGCTTGCTGTTTTACTTCATACATCTGCCTTTTGTTACCACCTGTCATTCGCTCAGATGATCGTGTATGTTTGTTTGTTCGGTCGCCCCGCAAGGAGGACCTTTCGCCTTCTCTCCTCAGTCAGCTGTTTAATTCCGGATAAGTGTGTTCCGATCTCAACATCGCCGCTCAAAAGTGATTTTACTTCTTTGCCACAGGCAGTCGTCTGATGCTGAGAATTGCTGCTTTGCTGTTTACGACAGTAATTCTCGCCGTATGGAAGTCATTTCAACGGTTAGGCGAGTGAATAAACGAGGACGGTACAAAATGCCGAATCGCTATGACACATACTGAATTAAGATTCGACAAGAAAGCGGTAATACAAAAACTACCTTATAAATTGATAAAACATTGCAGGACAAGACAGGCGAAAGGAAAGACCAATACGGTGTGCTGGTGAATGCGTTAGCCCTCGGAAAGGGTAATAGCGTTTGTTGCCCACCACAAACACCTGAGGTCCAGAGTTTTGCAAATATCTCAGCATCACATTGGTTATATTGTACGACAATATTTGATGAGTACTGTTACGACTGAATTACAACCATTTATAAGAACGATCTGCATCATAATAACTACTGCCTGCACAATACCGTGTCACGAAACTACTGGGTACATGAACAGCGAAAAAACCACGGAAAACAAATACGGTGATAAGACACATGCATGCCCAAAAAAAGTCTCAGACGAGTTCATTAAAGCATCAGGAACAGTGAGCATCTCTATGAAAATCTTCTAGTGTTCTCATTTACACGAAAACTTTTCCATCTAGATGGTGATGGTAATTAGTTTAGCCGCCAACCATGGTCCAGATTCATTAATTTTTCACACTGCCCGAGTTCTATAAGGGATGCGCGGATGATCCAGTGGAATACGAACAATTTCCCGTCGCTTTCGGACTTTTTGGTGTTTTCATAATAACATGGTTTAGCGACTGAACATGATATGACTGCAGAAGAGACCGCTCTCCAGTTCCATAGGTATGTATGCTACTAATTACTGCGTTACTATGGGTCGATATGCAAATACATTGCGTTCAGTGCTCGAAAGTATTTTGCACTCCGTACTGGGTATACTTCATTGTTTTTTATACCCACACATTTGTGCAATAACTAAAGTGATTAACACGAAACAACAGCCAATGGTTAGTTAAATTGCTGGCTAATAAACTTTTCTAAAAAAGCTTTTCCGTAAATAATTAAGCGTACAAAATGGCTCATCTGGTCTTATCCCTCCTAATTTGACCCGCTTTCGATTTGTCACCGAATGAATGTAGGTGGTGTGGCAAAAAGGTTCTAGAATCAACTGAACTCCAAATAGACACATATAGTGTCCATATCGTCTCCTAGACCAAGCACATACGAAAACTATATTGTCCATACCCTAGCATTATGGGTTAAAATAGGTTGACATGGCTACAATACAAAGTTAATCGTCTTTTCTTGAAATCCTTATTTCTCTTGGATAGGAAAGAAATGGAATATTTATGTACGTTTCTTTGAACGCCAGATCACATATTCATTATTATCGTAATAATAACTGCAGGATCTTTAAATCACCGTAAACTGCCCTTATTGACGAACTTTAGCACCTCATCATGCAGGTTGTCGTGTCATTTTGACCTTATAATCGCCGACTATTGTTTCCCGTTAACACATTAAATACTCGTATGAAATGCTGAGATATTTGCAAAACTCCGGACCACAGGTGTATGCAGTGGGGAACGAACACGCGCTGTTGTCCTTACCGGGGAGCAGCGCACTTCACCACTACACCATCCGGGTCACACCAGACCGGTAAGGACAACAGCGCGTGTTCGTTGCCCACTGCATACACCTGTGGTCCGGAGTTTTGCAAATATCTCAGTATTTCATACGAGTTATAATTCGAAACATAACCTGCCATTAAGAAGAAAAAGGCAGGAAATAAAAGAGTTAACATTAAATACTGTTAAACTAATTATTACCTAATTATAAGCATATCTAACGTCTGAGTCAACATTGTTCAAGATGATAATGTCATAGATAATTCATTACATCAAAGAACATGCCGCTAACGCTTATTGATTAGCTACTTTAACGCCAAAAGATGCCGATAACATAATGCGCCGGCCGTGAGAAAACTACTCTTACACAACGACCAAGATCTTTTCCCGAAAGGATAAGAACAGCAAGAGAATGAAAGACAACGAAAAAAAAAACTTATAAAAAAAAAGAGCATACCGTTTACACAGACGCCGGCCGCTCGGATACGATAGCCGTCTTCATCCCGCAACCGCTCCCTGGGCCCTTCGCGCGCCTTCCAAGGCGCTAGCATGCGACTCAGCACACTTACTTTCAACACTCTGATTTTTTCTTCTATCTGAAAAACGACAAACAACATTTATTAAGACTTTCAGAACTACACAGTAACGCGACCATGACCTCGACCACCGAACACGAACCCCTATATTACAATCAAATGACCAAGCAGTTATATCAGTAGAAAATAGGGCTAAACGACCGCATATGCAGAAGATCTGACAAAAAAGAAACTAAAACATAGTGAAGTTTCCTCACGTCGAAGACGTGACGCCATGAAATGGATTGTGCAGGAAGAAAATGAAACAACATTATGAACGACAGACATTGCGACAATGCAAACTGATATAAGCCAGTGTCCTATTTAAGTCCAATGGCATATGAAGGCAAAAGAAAGAAGAAAAAGCAATAGAGCAAACATGCAAGCAAATATCAATCAGGGTGGCAAAATCCCACTAGGATAAAAAAATCCTTCCCTCAAACGCCTCAAAGGCATTTGTCTCAAACGTCGGTTTTTTTGTCTTCACGACGTCAGCTGCTGCTGAAAATTAAAATGCCACGTAGTAGTAGCGCTAACTACGTTAAATTTTACTTCAAAAATAGCATTATAATCAATTAATTACTCCGTTAGAACTTATTAAGGATTTAAAATGGATGCCACTACAATTAAACGTAATATGAAGAGTGCCAATAGTAAACAGAAACAGTAACTAAGAAACCAAATATCGGAAAACAAATATGAGTCTATTTTCCGCAATCGCGGCACAACGCGGACACGGACGCGGAATCAAACAGCACGACCACTTAGAATGAGGTGCGTATACTACAGTCTCCGAACTTTGTGCTATGAACAGATTCAACAATACGATTAAAAGCTGAAACCTAAGAAGGAGAAAATACCAGTGCCCAGGAGGCTAAACGACAGTTACGTGGACGTTGCCAATGATAGACGGCGATAGTAAAGGCCAGGGCACGACGGGTGGAGCCATCTACAACAGAATTTGGCACATACTCGACACTGGGCGGGCGGTTGTCGGCCTCCTAGTCAAGCCCGGCTGCACACCACGGCGCCCGCCGGCACTCATCGCCCTCCTTCTCTCGCGCCCTCGTCAGCCAGCATTGTCATTCGTCTCGTAAGCCCATGAACTGCTTCGCTTTCTTTTTCATTCAACTGTTTATTAACCAATCAATACTTATATATTGTTCACAACCACGAACTCGCAAGTACGGTTTACTTCAGCTGGAGATTAAGTTCACGTTCACCATAAACATCCACCCTAAGGATATGAAATTTTCAGCACAGCCCCACCTTCATCAGCCAAAAACTGCCAGCACTCTTATCCTTTTTCTTTCACTTTCACTGATAGAATTAAAAATCCGTACAGGGCATGCAAATCTTTAGCACCTACACAAGATCGAAGCTTGTTTTTCCTTTTTCGTTTAGATGACTTCCAACATATAAGCGATGATCCTTCAATGAGAGAAGTGTAAAAACAATGCACTTGGAGCTAAGTGGCATAAACTATTCAAGAAAACCGAATGCGGTAGTTAAAAATAGATATCCTCATTGATTCAATCAATCAGAAGCTTCATGAGGAAGACATTCCATAGACAAAAAAGGAAAACAGAAAATGAAAAAAGAGCTTCCCAAAAAGAGTTAAACAACAACGGGAACAAGACATCCCATGTAAACATTATGGAAAATTAACTAATTTCTCTAAACCCATAGATAAAAGAGTAATTTATTGATGGGAAACAAAACGACTGCACTTCACGAAAGCATTGCCTTTTCCGCAGTGACAAGTGCATGCACGAAAACTAGAAGCACGACCACGACCAGAGCTTGACAAAACAGAGGGATGGATATAGGGATAAAACAAGGGATAAGTTTGCAAGTTTTAATATTTGCAATACTACGAGCTAATTAAGTAAGTAAATAGTTACTTAGCATTAGAGAACTAATAAAAAAGGCTATGAATATCGACAGTGAAGAATTCTTTTTTTTCGGATAATAAACATTTGTAAAGAATGACAGACAAATTCTGCACGCACTAAAAACTACACCAATTTCCATCAAGCAATAGATCCTTGCAGATTTCAACGAGAAAAAAACTGAATATGACTAGGAAAATATGCGATACATAATAATGAGGTACTAAAATAGCAATACTAGTAAATTTGCTCCATAGTCAACCAATCTGCTCTGTCAAACTATGTCATGGACAGGATAGGTATTGATTAGGAAACGAAACAACAAACAAGATTGTGGAATCGGAAAACCCGAATGATTACAGCAGAATACTGTTCAATGACTGACATACGACAATTTAGACAAACTGCAAGCAACGAAGTAGCGGTTTAGTTAATGACCATAGTATTTGAATAGAACCATATCAAAGATAAAGCGCTATGCAAATGAAGAGAATATCAGGCAAACAAATTGATACGAGGAGAAAAGTAAAGAGAACATGTAATTCACTCTGACAACAGTATTCGCTCAAATTGCCCGTGTACTGTGAACAGGACTAGGAAAGCACGCATTTCAATCAAGTTAGAACTTTGGATACAACAAAAGAGTGGTAACGAAACCGAATGATTACTGTTGCGTCCAAACCAAAACGAGAATGACAAGGCAACATCATGCACTCAGGACCTCAGATTCCATAGATATACCAAAAAATCATGCCGATCACTAACGGTATAGACAAGACGATGACACCCATTGGTGATTTCTCTGTTGACGTTGTGAAGACTTTGATGGTGTCGCTTGGCCTGAACACACCCATCGGTTGGCAACTATCGAGTTGTTTAGCTGTCCAATCAGTTAGCGTCAATTTATTCCTGTCATCGATACTGCCACACAATACACTTCGCATATAGAATTTCGACACTTCAGTGATTCGAACCCGAATCCAGTTGCCCATCACACCTTCACGATAAGGTAATAAGAAATGCTCATAGCATTTATTGTGACCAACAGCATTTACACCGTCTGAAAACTAACTATTACTAAACTCACTAACAAAAAGAAACACATGATTAGATCAATACAATTAAAGAATTTTTGTAGTAATAGTAAAAATAACCATTGACAAAAAGTAAGAAAAGCTGCCACCAAACCTATAAATGACGTTTAAACTAAAAGTTCACTCCATATCAAACAACTATAAGTCATGCTTGTTTTTCACTGATATCTAACTTGCTGGCGCTGACAAATGTCTATTTGGCAAGCACAACATCATGTGGTGGTCAACTGACAGAAAAAATCACTGTGTTATTTTTCCGGTGGTGAAGTTGATAGTTGTTTGATACACATATCTCATTACGCCGCAATAAATGCTCTCGTTGTAAAATACGACGAAACACTTAAACGACTTCTGGTCCGAAAGTATTCTTTAATCAGAAAACTCAACGGGGCCTCGACGACTCAGCTGTTCTTTAAGACTCAACAAGCTCAGCGAGAAACCACAGCTTTAGAACAAACATAAAGCCACTTGACCGTTCTTGTTTATGATTTTCAGTAAGACCAAAATAAATTTTTTATAAGGAATTTCTACACATCGATTTATCGCAGCTAATCATCGGAGCTACCATAATCCGCTCAAACAATTTCATTTCATTTCACACCAAGGCAAGAAAAAAAAGGATTAAAGCGCTATTAATGGGATGAAATTCATCGCAGCTGTGATGATAAACAATTAAGTGGAAGAAAACGGTATTTAACGCATGGAAGTAGTATTCTTTCTTCAAATCCATATATAAATATGGACATATGTTTATAAATATCGATTCTGTACTCGAGCGAAGACATGAGACTATTGGAAACATCACCTCTTGTATCTATAAACCAAGATTTTTGAATGCGTGTTCGGGTTCGGCAGCCATTTTATAACATTTCCTTCTTCACAAGTATTGTTAAATGGCAGAGTTGATTCACCCTGGAATACAGGGTCAAGTCACTCTGGATAGAGTGCTTCACACATCTTCACCTCATACATATATCTTTCTTTAGAGGTCGGAGAGCGCTTTTTTTCAAACAACTCTACAACTACCAGCGTAATAGCAATTTGCCGATTCAGAATTGATGATAGAGGCTTAGCTGGCACAGCAATGAACCGGATATCATGCTTCTCTTTTACAGCACCTTTAATTACTGCGTTTCAGAGTAACACCACATAATACATGTAGAAATTCACTTATATACTTGATGAATTTCTTTTTCCGAATCGTTCCACCTCTCTTCGAAGTCGTCGTCCGCTGGCGGGGTTTCTTTCGTGGACGATAGGTCTACGAAAATCATTTTTGAATTCATAGCGTGCATTCATATGCGAACGAAACTGGTTAATTTCAGTTACATATGCATCCATCGATAATGTAAATAGCCTATTTTAAATGCATTCGTCATAACTTGTGTAAATATAATTGTTCTTCTTGGTCATATACCGTCGATCATTCTCATTGCTTAACGACAGTATCCATGCTGAGATACTCATTCCTCTAGACCACAAATGCGAACGGAGTAGTTTTTAAGGGACTGAACTCCGAAGAAAGACCTGCCGTTGTGCGTGATAAACTGCAGTTCTACACATGTCGTTCCCACACTTCATGATCAACGTGCTTCACGAGGTCCAGTGGCCTTTCACTCCTATGGAGAGTATTTTCAATGAATCTTCTCTATCCTATCATATCATAAAGTGTTTCCTATGCTTAGTATTTATTGCAGTTAATCGTATTTCTTGCAATCTGTTGCACCACGAAATTAATTCCTTCCACAATTTGTCCTCAATGACTGCGCACCGGTTTTGTAATGCATTTTCCACTTTCCTATCTGAACCTGCGATGTAAGGGTTTCACCCATCTGCATGCTCCATCGGTATCTCTTCTTGTGTGTAGTGATTTTTCAGGACCAAGTTTAAATTAGGAACTGGCATATGATCTATCCATCCACAAGCCATACATACGACCAGCTATTAAGTTGTAGATGCATACCAATATAATGTCTTGCTTGGTATTTCAATCGCATCACTTTAGCACAATGTTAGAGGATGCTTTGCAATTGATAGTGCTTTTTGTTGCTCTCTATACTATCTCCATTTATGGATCACGTTATTGTTTATATTTTTTGGACTTAGGGCCTTACTGTCGGCATAACGTATTATCATTGTTGGTATAGACGGTTTAATTACCCAACCTTAAGATCTGCATTACGACAAAAACTGAAAAAACGCGCGTGGTGGAATTCATCGCACAAAAACGAGTAAAGCACTATATTTCTAGTCTTTCGTTCAGATTTTTCATGTCGTAAACCTTGTTCAAAAAACCGTGAAAAAAATGGACTTGTTAGGAATTTTCCATGAACGTGTGTGCCATTTTCATACCCTTCTGCTGGCTTCCTTATCACTGTGGCGTGACAAAATACAGTTTGAGAGGGATGTCTCCGATTTGTCGTACCACCCACCTTCCTGTGTAGATGGTAGAGCTGTATAATCATGATACAATTGATATTAAGTTCAGTTCACATTTAGAATTAGGCCGCCACTTCATCCCACGGCTGAGTCAATTGTGGTCTATCGTAACTAGTTCAAAATTGTCGTCTGGAAACCCACCTAGGAGTAAACTTATAAAACACCAGCGCCCGATAAGGAACTCGTACACATCGCCAGAAACGCGAACCATAATAAAAGCGTGTTATCCTCCCACTCGTAAAGGGTGCGTGTGGCGAATTTGTCGAAGGCGCCCTGCAATACATACGGGATCGATCCCTGTGCACCAGGCCCACCAATCCCTCCATCCTCCCGAGGTCGGTAAATTGGTACCAGAGTTGTCTGGGAGGATAGCAACCTGGCTCGATACATCAGTAGGCCACCACGAGGCAAGATATGAATTAAGTCACCTCCAGCAGTCCTTATCATTTTATCTCCACTTTCCTATTGTATTGGTACGGTGAATAACAGGGAAAAACGGAATTTACTCATTCCTACTCGAGTTGCCTAATGATTAACCACGTTAACAGATGATATAAATACAAAACAAATCCCATTTGTGCAACTACGTAACACGCTCTTAAGAGCTAACACCTACGAGACTGAATATGCTTGGAAACCGTTAACTTTCAAGTTATTTGAAGGACTTCGAGAAAAGAAATGTGAATTTTGGACCTTTAAAGCAAAACAATTATAGCGCATGTAAGCGCTTGATATTTGCGAAATTGAATTTCTGTAGAGGCCTAGACAACAAGGCCTATTTGCATAATTTAGAAGCACAACAAATATATTTCAAAGCGACTCATGCTTATTTTGTTCATATACCACATATATTGTAAACTTCTATGGTTTCAAAAGTCACAAAATCAAAACAAGCAAACATTTTGCCATATGAAAGGAAGTTGTTCAAGCACTTTTCTTTCTAAAGCACGTAGTTGGATCAATCTTAATTAGACCATAAAGTACACATTTAGCTCTGTTCACGAAGACCACATCCTATGTACTTAGTGCGTCATGTTCATGAAAAACAACATGGGGGAAAACTGTACACAGGAGCAGCACAGGTTGCATTTGAGACACTAATCTCAGAAAAGTTGTTGACTTACAGACAAGCTGAGAACTTCACGATCATGAAGAACAACATCAGAAGAAAACAGTTTACAAGCAGTGTAGCATAGAATGCATTTGAAACTCTCACCTCAGAGAAACTACTGATTTACAGACAAAACCAAAACTCCATGATCATAAAAAATGACATGAGTGAAATACTGTTTAGAAGAGGAGTGGCAAAGAACGTATTGTGACTATTATCGCAAAGAAATTGTTCTCTTACAGACAAACCAGAACTTCACGATCACCTTTTTAAATAACAATCCCCTTCAAAAATATCGAAGATTCATCGTAGGACGTACGGACTCGTTAAACAATTTCCTCCCAAGTATGACCGACACACATAACATCCAACCAAATTCCGCAGTTCACATCCTTAAAGTTAGCTGATCACAAAGACCAAGATAAACGCACAGCGAAGCGAAATACAGTTAGGCCGGTCACGTAACGAGAAGAATCGACGAGAAACGAGAACAATAGGATAGACATCAAGACGATGTATCCTGCCGAACAAGCATTTAAAGACGAGCAGACCCGCCAGGTTAAAGCAGCTATATTCGTAGCCGGAAGTGTCTCTTAGACATGAAATGAAGAGTGCAGATGTTGCCACTATTGAAAAAAAACCACGAGCATTCACGATAACCGTGAGGAACGAATGGAATATATTAGGGTACTCAAAATGCTCGCAAAGACAGGGCATGAAGAATCCCAGTAAATATTTAACACCGTCTACTTTCCTTTATGAAATGCATTCAATTCTTTGGATTATTCGAATGGTGTTTACCAACGGTTGCAAACAGTCTGCGAAACATTGACGCAAACATAAGGTAAACAATGCGAGCAGAAATCTCTTTTGTCGTCTAGCAAGAATATTTCAATGGACGAAAACGCACAATCGCAGGATTCTATGAAGAATCAATTCGAACAGCATTCAAAGTATTTGCAAAAAAGACTAAAATTCCCGAGCAAAAGTTGGAACCACACGCATATCCGAAGACCTTTGTGGATGACTGATGTGAGCGAAGGAACAGAATACGAGAAGATCGGAGAATCGCACAGTATCTTTGATGTCGAGTCGTACGAAAGAAAATTGAAAACAAATAGTATAGAAATATCAAGTTGTTCATAGATTTTAGAAATGTAACTAGAAAGAAGCAGAACCATTTTACTCCTGTTCTGAAATTCATGGCTCTCTGTAGGTCCTAATTGATAAAGGACTACAAGTAAATAAAAGGTTTTCGGATGGATAACTGATATTTAAAGCATATATATAAAACTATAGATGAATTGAGCAAAATAAATGTAGATTAACAGCAACTTCCTCTAATCTATCTACAGTAACATGCGACTTCCCACTTAAGGTCTTGTAACTCGAATATCCATCGGCAAGGTCTCCATTCGTTTTACGCTCGCGGTACGGTTGAACAATGGGGTATACTTACTCTAGAGACCTAAAATACATGCTGTCTTTGATCTATGAACTACGTGAAGAAGTATGGTAATCAACTCATTGGTCTTCTGTGTGCTTGAGAACCCAAGGCAACCTACTATTAACCCATCCAACTCTGGTTACCGCATTTTGTGCCTAGCCCACCCAACAACGCGTCAACAAATTTTTCGTCGGCTGCTGACATTCTGGTTTTTTGACAATGAAAAATCTTACCACAATGATTTGAGGGGTTTTGAGTATGACAGGATTGTAAAGGAGACTTTGCTCTATCGTTTTATGGGTATGAGAGATATGTACGCCACTATAAACGATGTGCTACTCTGGTCCATTATGAAAATATATTCCCTCTGCATTTGGAAGTACTAGTACTTTTCAGTTCATGTCGAGTCAATTTGGTATTTCTTATACCCACATATTTCATAAAATAACCATAATTCATCATATCGATTAAAATGAAATAATAATTTAATGTTAGCTAAACTGCCGCCTAATGAAATTCTTCTTAAAAAAGAATTTTGTAAATCTTTTAGTTTAGAGAGTGGGTTTTCTGCTCTCATCCCACCCCCTCCACCTCCTCCTCCATCAACCTCTTCACCACCCGCCTCTATTTTAGTCCGCTTTCGATTAGAAAAAAAAAAACTGGGATCCACTAAACTCAGTGTGGACAATACAGTTTCCATAATACAGATTGGAAAGAGTTAACAAATCTGGTTTCCGGAACATGGAATCACTCCTGATCTCTCTTTCTCGCTTGAGTAGTACAGGATGCTTCTTGCATAACACTTGACGCCTTCAATAATGACGACCACCCTTTTTCAATCTTGGCTACGTAACACCTAAGCTTGCGTAGTACCCGTTCGTTAAGCTAAGAGGAGCTTTGGTATTGAAGAGGACACAGTGTCGTGTTCAAAACATCTCCGGTGCCTTTCCAAGTTGACGCCTATTTAGCTTGAGAATTAAAACCGTCTATCATTAACATGTTTCCTTATATGCGCTTTCGAAACCATTCACTATTTATTTCACCCGGCTGACTATCGATATTTGAACGAGGTTATCATCAAATCAAAGATGATACTGCTACCAATTATCAACTTTACCTCCTACGTTACCCTTTCGTTTTCACTTCACGTTCTCAAGAATGGATGTAGTTTTGGTGAGATCGCGTCGCTCTGTTAGAATCCTTAAATTGACCACAATCCCGTCAAAAAATGATGAAATTTTCGCCTAAAGTTGCAAAGCTCATGAAGGTCCTCATATATTTAGGTTACAGTGAGAAGCACCCCAGACGCTGTTGTGGTGACATTCCTACCGATAAAGCTGCCAACCACACCTTATGAAAAGCAACCTTCCCTCAAACTTTTCCAAATTCATAAAAATGCTTCGATGCGACTAAAAATATTGAGGTTTTGGTTCACAAAGGAGTTAATGTTCGATTGCTAAGCTGTTATTGACGAAGACACAAATGTCTCTTTTTTGGAATCAGAAACGAGGTTTGATTGATAGCTTTTTGTCGTCTCGCACACTTTGATGTCACTCCACCTAAACTTCTGTGTACGCACAGCCAACATCCTTAATGGAAGCGTGGACTTCTTTCACATCTTCTCTTAAACTAATTTTACAAAACAATTACGAATCCTCATTTTAGATCTTCCATATTTAGACACTTAGAATGACCCTAAGATTTTACCTTCAACTCTATACCTGTTTTCAGGAATGCTGAAGTGCAAGACGAATTTGCAGTGTAATGGGGAAGTGCGTTCTATGGTGACGTTTGCCTCGCCTTTTTGCTAGATATACGTAAACATTGGTCATCTATCGGATGGAGAAGACGTCACACTTAATTGCTGGGGACAATTGTGAACCCTGCATTTATTCTCCAAAAAAATTATAGCATAATATTTGGCAGAATCCACACGTAAGATACAACGCTTTGAACTTCGTATAGCTCACCTGATAACACTGTACCCTTACGACCAATCGACTGACAATCAACTAATCAGTTATGTGCAATTATTTCACGTGACATTTTGATATGGTCAACGTTACAAAACTACTCTTTTCAGAGTGAAATTACACTCTGGTATCAATTTTCCGCCCCAGGAAGGATAATAGGCCTGCTAAGCCTGGAGTCGAGTCAAACCTGCGCCCGGGTTGATTGGGCGTTGCCCATAACATACCACATGACTACCACTATATTACCTGTACCTGTAAGAGCAGTATAATGACAGGGAACAATAATAGAAATAAATAGTAATAACAATAAATAATAATATTAATAATGAATAATTATAGATTCTAACAGATCATCGTCGTATGAAAAGAATTAAACGCGGATTCTGAAATATAACGAAACTTCATGCTTGGGATAAATAAAGGAAAGTTCGATGTTTTTCTTCAATAGCAGGCACGAGGTTGTTATTATAGAACTTATTAGGATACAACAGCTGACGTTTCAGCGGCTTCGCCTTCTTCAGAGCCGTTTATTCGTTGTAAGTATTCTAGTTAGTTGGTGGATAGCAGCCGCACAGAGTAACACATGGCGAGGAAAGTGCTCATCGATAAAATGAATTAAACTTCCATGCAACATCCTTTTGTCTCAGACTTCAAAATTACTGAAAAAGAATTAACCAAAACCGTGCAGCTTCCGATGTAACCCTTTCATAAATAAAACCATACGTTCCATACAGCTTCACAGCTCATACTTAAAGTCCTCTATATTTCTCAGGAAAAAGGTGTTTACTATGGTGCTGTGCTTATTGGGGAGTGTGCAGCAAACAAATGCGTCACCTACGCAGCCATAGATTGACGAAACGAATGAATTGGATTTCCAAAATGGTAATACCACACTTAATCCATATAGATAGAATTTGTAAGTCGGATACAAACGATATCATATATACCTGCAAAAAGGATAAAGCTCTCGGCGTTGATCAGTCCCTGAGGGATGTGCCATGTATCGGTTTTATTAAGCATCGTTAGAGGTGACTGAATACAAATCTTGCCTATTCAATGACTCGTGGTGGCTTACCGATGTATCGAGTCAGTGCTACTATCCTCCCAGCTAAATTTGGTAGCAGTTTGATGACCCTGAAGGGATGGAAGATTGGGGTGCGGAATGCACAATATGTGCAGGGCGCCCTTAACCAATGCGTTATACACGGCCAGGCCTATCCATATTAGCAAACCTGTTTTGTTTACCATTGTGTTCCGTCTAAACTGCGTTTACTGGACATATTTACGAGCAACAATAATATGTTCAAAGACTGGACTCCAAATTTCCAACAAATTTTCTAAAACTCGAATGTTTGAAGAACTGTGGACTTGAAAGGCACATAGAAGAGGTGTTTTTTTTGAGCCACTTTTTAGAATCCTCTGCTTAGACCTGAAGGACGTCATCGTTTGCGGGAAGGAATGTTTCGAAATCAATGCACGCGGTCGCAAGCATGTTTGAAAAAGAACACCTCCGCTCATCGTACACTATATGAATTCAACCACAAGGATTTTGAGAAATGAGCAAAACTCGGAGTCTCAGTTAAGCTTCAAATCCAAGATTCCGGAACGCTGCGGGTTTGAAGCCACATCGCACTACATCATCATCATAGCTCAGCATGCTCGTGGTTAAGTTTCACATCGCATCCTGCCATGGAAAAATAATAGGCAGGAAATAGAAGTTAAAACATTGTAATGCGTACCAATACAAAATTCTTTCAAAACATTTCAAGATGCATAACTTTTTTATTTACTGCCTATTATTTTTCATGGTAGGCCCTTATGTGGAATACTGGCCTAGGGTCTGAGTTTTTGCAAATATCTCAGCATCATTGTGGTTTCACATCAAGACGGGTTTTTACCAAAAAAAAATTTCAAAATTTAAAAGAATATTGACAGTGGTGTTGAAAACGTTCCATGTATTCTTATTATTCAAAATTACAGTAAACCTTGTCGAAGTCATTTTCCTATGCGAAAATTAAAGTCTCCAGATTAATCCATCTGATTATAACAGATGCGATACAAATAAGTAGGATACAGTATGGCATAAATATTTACTGTAAGGAAGCTCCAATAGATTTCCCATATGTAAAACATTCAGATATGGAAAACTAGAAATTTCTTCTAGGCATTCCTTGGAGTTAAAAGACAGTTATAAGCTGAAATTTTGAAGTGCAGAACATAACAATTTATAAAAGACCCTTTGACTGGAGTTCTTAAGACGAAAAATAAAACAAAAAGATATTCGAGAACGCTATAAATTTAGTTTGTAGTTAACTGGTTTGGTTAATTAAGCCTATTCACATCGCATCCTCGTCTCGTTATTTGTTAAAAGCTGGAAACTGACAGTGTTGAAAAGGTGTAGAAGTCCGAACGACTACGGAAATGGTTATTTCTAATGTATTCGAAATAAGCAGGTTAAAAATAGACATTCATTATAAGACTAATTGAACCTGCGACCTGCCGAAATTATTTTAGTCGTTCTCACTTTTACTAATAAACTTCCCTTCCAAATGAGACATATTCGTTTACTGTTAAAGGAATAAATACGACCACATATGTGTGATATATAACTCATACCATCGCCGTGAAACTGTTAAACCACTGTTTGAAAGCGACAATCACCTGATGCCATTTCGCAAACCAGCACCTCATGTTCTTCACCAATTCTTCCCGGTGTATATCTGCTGTATGATCTAAATAATGCAGACATGGCGGCGGTCCGACGTCTTGCTTCAATCGTATCAATCTGAAATTGCGAAAAAAATCCCTTTTAGGTATCCCTTTTAACTACTCCTAATAGACTTTGATTTCGATGTAATTGCTTGAAGCACAAGATTTACAAAAGTTATTGATTTTACTCGCGTGTGGCGCAGTGGCTGGAGGCACCACAGAACACACACTTGGAATCGATCTCCGTCGTGCCCATGGCTCACCAAGCCTTCCATCCCTCCGGGGTCGGTAAATTGGTACTAGACTTTTCTGGGAGGATAGCAGCGCTGGTTCGATACACCGGTAGCCCACTGCTAGTCATTCTAAAGGCCAGGCATGCATTCAATCACCTTCAACGATGCTTAATGAAGTCGAATACATGGTGCATCCCTCAGGGTTTGATCAACGCCGAGGCTTTATCCTTTTATCCTTTATTGATTTTACTCTTTTCTAACTTTGATTCTTGCCAATGGGAATTTAACACCTTTGTATTCGCACCATTTCAAGGCATGAGTTTCGCTATCTTCATGTAAATGTTCTTGTTATTTTCGTCAAAATGCATTAAATTTAAGCTACTAAGGCCTTAGCATGGTCACAATCATCATTTTAATATTTTTTACAGCAACGGAACCGTTCAAAAGCGTACGAGAAAGAATATTTTAGTAGGTTTTGCGATTGAAGTTGGACATTTGGAAATGAAGATGATCGGAGATGACCTTCTGGAATCGATAATAACCACTTAAAGATATTGACTGAAGCAAATCCATGCAGTCAGATTCAGAACCTTGTAGAAGAATTAGGTAGAAATGAAACAATTGCTTAACACCGGGTGGCAAAAAATGAATTCTAGTCAGACTGCCGTCATCAAATCTGTTCTGCGCTCTGCGTGAGAATGATTCCTTTCTTGACCCGATGGTGATGAACGACGAAAATTCATTAGATTTACACCACCCAAATCTCTTCACACGGATTGACAAAGATGAAGCACCGAAACAGTTCTAAATCTGATTATCATAAAAATTTTATGAACAGATTCTGGTGCTAAGCATATCCACTATAACTACCCAAATCCTGGTAAAACAATCATGGCAGACGTATCTTCAAGAAAACGACAAAATGCACCGAGATCCGCAATATGAGCAACCAGTATTGACCAACGGAAAGGACAGAGTTCTATTTCATGGCAACGTCTCTCTACATCCACAGCTAACATTGCAAAAACTGAAGGATACTGTATATGACACGTATGGCATACTTGTCGTGTATCCCGTCAACCAGTTGTTAGTTTCTTAAGCATGTCCACAACTTGAAGGAAACGCTCTTCAACAAAGAAACCAGTGCTGATACAGCTCCAGAGAATTCGTAGCTATTAAGCTTTACGTGAAACACCATGAAAACTACGACTGTTAGAAGATTCTAAATCATAATAAAATAGACACAATACCCTGCTGTAAAAATTTTAGTAGGCAGAAAATAAAAAGTAAGCATTGTGATTTTAGCAACCTCAGCTTAACTGAGTTCAATTCCGATATGGGCTCCTCAGATCAATCCCGTTGACGGGTGATTGCTAATGGCAAAAAGATCGATAGAACTAGCTGAGAGATAGGCGGAACGAAAGACCTGCATGGTGTGCTGGTGAATTTGTTAGCTCCCGGAAAGGGTAGTAGCGGCTTCGTTCCCCACCGCAGATACCTGCTGTCCGGAGTTTTCTCATTATCTTGTGGCTGTATTTCGCATAATACCCTACTGTAAAAATTGTAGCAGGCAGAAAATAAAAAAGTAAACATTTTAAACCATGGTTTTCTGCCTCCGCTTAATTGCCGGCCACTTAAAATAACCAAACTTATCGGTTCTTATTAACCACATCATTCTCACCTGTTCTCAAAATTCACAGTGATCATAAATAATCAGTAATGTAAATCTTAAGTTTAGTTTTAACATATAACACTTTTCTTGGCCATCTATAATAGAAAAATCGCATCAACGGCGTTTCTTTATTGAAATATGCAGACTCATCAGATTGTCACCTGAATTTCATCTTCTCTAGGTTACTTAGAATTTTTGTCCTTCATTATTATAATTACACGGCTTAAACACTTACAATGGAGACAATGCCCATATCTTTACCTCCCGAAACAGACCAACGCGGATACATGATTATAATTAACTTCAAAATGGGTAAGTAAATAAGCAATATAGTTGCTACCTTTTTCATTGCTGCCGCTGGTGTTCCAGAACGAGGATAAAACTGATTGATGAAAAGCGACGGAAACTGGTATTCGCGTATGAGCTCCATACTCTCCTCGAAATCCTCGTCAGTTTCAGTTGGGAACGCACAGATCATGTCCGTTGCTATGTAGATATTTGGAACTCTGAATTAATCTGAAGTACCGAAAATAAAATGAAAGCTTCAATGAAACCAATAAGAACTCGGGGTACACTAATGACCGGAAGACCAAGGACTATTTCGTTGGTTATAAACGGATATAAAATAGTCAAATAATTCATTAGAAAGCACCTCGTTTATTCTATAATCTAACAATCGTTTAAATCCTGTGAAGCATCAGATGTGTACTACTTTTCATCCTTTCATACTCCCCAGCACATAAACACGTGGTACGCATTGGAATTCTAAAAGCGACGAAGTTCTTGAAGGCAGTTCTAGCCTCGGCTAGGTTTCCGCAGCATTTATAGCACAAGAAATTGTCGAGTTGTTTGAGAAAGTGATAGGCAACAGACAAGAGATCTGGTGAGCATGATGGAGCAGACAGAGCCTCGTAGCCTAGCTAATTTAACTTTTGCAGCGCTAGTAGTATGAAGCAACGCTGCACGTTACCATGTCATGCAGGATAGCTCCTTTCTGTTGACGAATGCTGTACACAGCTATTGAAGTTTCTGAACCAATCCGTCGATCTGTTGGTCTACTTCTCGCCGTAATCGTATCACCCAGATTCAAGAAGCAATGATAGCTTAAACCAGCAGCAAACCAGTAAACCGTCAGCACGACCTTGCTACGGTGCAATCTCAGCCTTTAGAAGTCCTGCGGAGCCTTATCGCGTAGCAACCACTGAGAGATCGTTTCTGGTTGTTACAGTGGATCCAATTCTGGTCGGATGTCAAAATCTGTGGAGAAAGAGAGCCTTCCGTAACATGATGATTTATTTCATTTCCAACCCAATTAGTTCCGCACCCATTTGTCCAGTTTTTCGAGTTTCTAATTTCCCTAAGATGCTCCGAAACAGTTACAATGCTTGTATCAAATTCTTCCGCAGGTTCTCAAAGGTTATACGTATATTTGCGCTAGCAAAACCTTCAATTTACCGTCTCCTGCAGCAATGCGACGTCCGCCAGCTGCCTCATCTTGAAGGTGGGATTGAGCATCACGAAAATTTTCAAACCAGCGTTGCATTGCGCAACTTTTCGTCAATATTTCTTTGATTTTATATCCCATTGATGTTTCGAACAATTTGGCAGCACTAAATCCGAGTTTAACCGTAGAAGTAGACTTGCCAAAATTTCTGTTTTGAAGTCTGGAATTCTACCCTTAAAATTTGTAAAAATACAATTTGTATTACAACTCAACTATATGAAGTAGTAGAGCATTCTAAAAAAACTGTTGCCAAAACATCTACAGGAAAAGTGAAATTACAAATCGAACTTTAATTTCCTGAAAACCTAATAGCTATAGATAGTACACCGTTCCATTCCTTCTTTTTTAAGTGTTTTAGTGTTAATGTCTTTTTTAAAGTCTTCTTATTCAAAGATAACTCTGCTGACCGTAAAAAATGTCAAACGGTGAAGGAATTTTTTTGAAAACGGACAAATTCGTTCGTTTTCCAGGGCGTCAGACGTGAAATAATCACTGTTAAACGCAAATTTATAATACCAGGAAAAAACTACGAAATGGGCAAATAAGAGTTGAAAATAGCCTACTCTTTCAGCATGAAATCCACTATCATTCTAAAATGATCGCATGTATATTCTCGCTTCATATCTCGCAGCACCGCATCACTACCTGACTGGACTGGAATGTGAAGGAACGAGTAGACCCTTGGATGATTCAACACAGCTGCGATATCCTGAAGAAAATGATTACAAAAACCTTCGTCTGATAAAAAAACCATCCGATCAAAAAAAGTGTTTTTGAAACTTGTTTTCATATGTGCTGTTAAAATTCCACGAATGGCAGAGGTCCGATTAACACAATCACTAAGTACTTCCTACTCAAGAAACACCACAAGACAAGTAGCAATTCCATAGAATCCTGTCTCCCTAGTTCAAGTGACGTTACAGAGTTGTCACGAAATATGGTAGTGTTTAACGTCTGTGAATACATCAACGACAGACAAAGAGCTGTAAAGCTACATAGGCATATTACCCGCAGTATCACCAACAAACCTCTAAATAATCAAGAATGTATGGAGGATTAGTCATCCCAAGCCTCATCATGCATCCGTCGGGAATCACTTTTACAAGGGCATTAAGCAAATCTGGCAGAACCTAAAAGTTAACCAATGTGTTCGGTGAAAATGTTAATCGTATCTAAAGACTTAATTATTTACTAATTTTTCAAAATAGCTAACTAAATTTGAGGGATCCACTTCTTCTGTTTGAGTTTGAACAATTTAAGAATAAGTATATTTAGTTTACCATGTTGATGTCTCGTCCCCACGCTCCCAGATCTTCTGATGTTAACCACAATTCCTTCACTCCATCTCTTTCAAATGCAGTGCAAGCCTAAACCACTAAAGCATAAAAACTTATCACTAGGAAAGTACGTAAATTTCGTTGAAAAATACTTTTAAATAAAATTCAGGGTTAATAATATTGTTGTTTCTCAAAAACAGCCAAGAAAAAACCTTGTTTCCTAACATTTGACATTAAAGTTTCTATTTTGGGACAGTGAGAACAAAACATAAAGAAAATGATATTGTAACCGAAATAATATTTAGAGAAAAAACTAAAAAATCATCATATTCTTCCGGCTTGGATGCACGCGTCAGAAAACTGCTCGCTACGCAAGCAGAGTGGTTCCATCCTACGTCAAGGATCAAATATTAAGGATGCTATTCTACATGCCAAATTGTCCAAAATAAGGTGAGCCGGACAGACAGTGCTCATGAACGACGACCGATGGACAAGATTCGTTTGGGACTGAAGTTCTCGGGATGTCAAACGTACTGCAGAACCCGATGGCCAGAGTTCTTCACGAAAAGCCTAAAAAAGGTATGATGTTCAACGAGTCTCTAGAACAAGCAAAACCCACTCGGTTACTCTTGCGCTCAACAGGGAGAAACGCAAGATTTACTGGCACCTGTTCGATTTATTCGACGATTAACTGGAAGACAGGTGATACAGGTTGATCACCACGCCACTGGTAATAAACTAGACGACAGACGGTAAATCTCTAGCGACCGCATACAGCAACTTGAGAACGCTTCAGCTAAGCTAACTAAGAATCGTAAAGGATAAAAATAAGATAAAAGGAGAAAGCTCTCGGCGTTGATCAATCTTTGAGGGATGCGTCATACATTCTACTTCAGTAAAAATCATTGGAGGTGACTGAATGCATATCTGGCCTTTAAAATAAGTCGCGATGGCTTACCGATGTATCGAGTCAGTGCTGCGATCTTCTAAGACAAGTGCCGTACAAATTTGCCGGTTCCAGAGGAATGGAAAGCTTGGTGGACCTGGTCTGCGTGGATCGATCCCATGCGTATTATGGAGCGCCTCCGACCACTGCGCTATGCACGCCCCTTCACTCAAAGCTATATGAAACAATAATCACTCAGTAACAGGTTTAAAATCCTACATATTCGGCTTACAAATCTACTGCAGTCACATTAATGAGACCAATTCAGAAGAATACATAAGCGCCATAGAGACGAGACAGGCGAAACGAAGGACCCGCATGGTGTGGTGGTGAACACGTCACTCCTCGAAAAGGACAATAGCGCGTTCGTTCCACACCGCAGACACCTGCGGTCCGGAGTTTTGCAAATATCTCAGCAACATTAAAGTTATAGAGACTGTTCGTTGCTCTGCATCAACAACAAAAAAGTTTCCTCAAAGCATGCCCTCATGTTATTCTTCAGATAGCAAGCCGTACTAAATTTCATATCACAGCCGTACAGGGAAAAACCTGCAGGTTCGCAGTACGCCAAATAAATGATTTGTCATTTGGAGATAAAAAATCTCGTCAGTAAATGCTAGTGAAACAGGCTTGGTTGTGCATTTATCACATAATTTCATAGGACAATCTATCAAATTGTCTGGCCACTTCCCTCCTTCATCGTTCACTTCAAAACGATACGTGTCCACGACTATCGTCCAGCACTTGACGAAAGTGATTTTGACGCGTTCCATTAATTGCAAGAAAGAATATGCAGTAAGACTCCTGTAGATTCGTTGTTGGAAAATTCAGTGGTAGGGTAATCTTGTCAATAGCACAACATTCTTCCACAGAAATCATGTTCCGAGGAGAAATTACAGATACATATGTAAGTTGGCCAACCTAACGACTTCCACGGTGATTGGCCACTTTTTTTTTTTTACAATCAAGAGGTTTTAGTTTTATATCGCTGTGGCACCATCGTGCTATAATCTACCCTTCTACTGATCATGTACGAAAATTCACTTCGGTAATAAGCTGCTAAAGAATTCTCGAAATCGCTCATGATGAAGACAGAAATAGAAAATAGGAGTGTTTTGAACAAAATCCTTTTCTCACTGACAACTAAGACCCGACTGAAGGTGTTCATTGGAGGACCTAAACTTACTCCTTGCCTCAGGTCTTAAAACATGAGGTTCGGATAGTCTAACCAGGAGTTTTTCAAAAAGAGAGAGAAATTGAAGCTTGATACTACCAGTACACCTATTATGGATGGTAGTAATAGAGAGGTGAACGTCTTTGCAGAAGCCTTTACATCTCTACAAGCAGAAAAAAGGGCTGATCAAAAGGCCTCAAAAAGAGAACATCTAAAGAACTACCACTAGTACTTGACGAAAATAATGTTTCGCTAGCAACTAGACAAACTAAGGAGGAAGTGAGAGTGTAACGTACCAAAAACTGTCTTTTAAATTCCACAATATCCATCCCACCTGTACTAGAAGGGCGCGTGTGGCGCAGTGGTCGGAGGCGTCTTGCAACACACGTGGAACCGATCCCCGTGCTCATGGCCCACCAAGTCTTCCATCCCTCCGGGTTCGGCAAATTGGTACCAGACTTGTCTGGGAGGATAGCAGCACTGGCTAGATACATCGGTAGGTCACTGCGAGTGCGAGTCATTGTAAAGGCCAGATATACATTCAATCACCTCCAAACGTTGATTAGTGAGGTTAAATGCATGATGCACCCTCACGAATTGATCAACGCCTGGAGCTTTACCCTTTTTTTTATTTTTTAGAAAAAACTAGACCGGATCCTTCCCTCTGAAGCCCAAATAGCGATTGAGAAATAATGAAAAGAGGTACATGTCCAGAAGCAATTAATATCACACCCAGATTCCATCAGAATTCAAAACTACATGCACTTCTAGCAATCTGAATGACAACTTTCACCTTTAAAAAAGCATTCCCGACTAGTGGTGAGCGGTCATTCTGCTTACGAATGCTGAACAAAGGGATCTAAGCGCAACCCTCCAATTTGCCCACTGTATACATTTCACGATTACCTTAACGCACATGCTAATAACACTCGATGAAACAGAATTTTACCCACTTCGCTATTGGAAGCATATCGAAGCCGTACATGGGCTCTCGCTGCATCGATGAACCATTTTTTCGATCAGAATACAACAGAAGTAGACAACCTTCTTGTATTCAATTTGTTTACCATTCTTCCATTACCTTCAGTAGAACTGGGTTCTTTTTCTGCACACAAGTTAATTTAAGGATATAAATGGAAACGGAGGGAGGGCACAATGGTAGTGATATCGATCACCACCGAGGTCGGGAAATTAGAACCAAACTTGCCTAGGAAAACCACACTCTCTAAAATCGAAGTGGGAACGCTCTGGTCATGCTATTTCAGGACTGTAGGGAGAATGAACCCGAACGGCATTCAACGACATTAATGATGAACGGAAATGCTTAAAATGCTCAACCAACAGCAGTACCCATACGCCAAAGTTGGGAGACATTCGTGGATGATGAATGCGAGGAAACCAACCGAATTCAATAAGTGTTATGATCCGCACAAATATGTGAATATGGACCACATAAAATATTGAAATGAAAGTCAATTAAACAAAAATATATACTGAAAGTATATAAATATAATATACTGAAAGCTCAACCAGCTCGATGAACAAAGAAAAGCGAAAGAACTGTGCATAAATCGAACAGAAATCCAGTTCACAAGCAACCCGTATTTTGATGTAGAACAAATGGAAACCAATGACTCTAGGAAAATAGTATGGCTGCATTTAGCCCTTTAAAAAAAGCCACCAAAAAAAAGGAAACCAAACTCTGTGCTCATCGTTATGTCTCAACGTTCTTAAAATTTTCCACGAATGGAAGACGTAGTAAACTAACACTTCAACCACGTACAGAGCATTGAGTACCATCCACAAAGTTTCTGAAAGATTTCCTTCGAAGTGTAATCGGCACACACAACATCTAGGCAGAATACGCTGTTCAAACTCTCTAATATCACCCCAGCTACGAAATCTAAGAAGAGAAAACTCCTCTAAAGAGAAACAGATGGGTCAAAAAGAACGGTACAGTGAAGTCCAAAAGAATGTAATCATCTCCTAAGACGATTAATTTATAAAAACGCTGGGCGTATATGTCGTTCACATCGAGCAACCGTATTCGTTGCCGGGTCACAGAATGTTATTCGTAGAGCTAGAAACAGTTTAAAAAGACGAACTCAATGGATTGTGATCCGAGGAAAATAAAAAAGCCATATTCTCCTGGAGTTTATGCTCCTCGTGAAATAGCGCCGAGTAAGTATTAAAGTGAACAAAAAAATCCACGTCATTGTTAACGTTAAAAACCTGGATTATTAAAAATGAAGATACAAATAAACATACATCGATGGACGTATAGAGACAAATAAACATACATCGATGGACGTATAGAGTTGTTACTTAGTAGATACTTTTTAACCCGTAAAATGACAAATCGCAGAGATTGTGCGAATAGAAAGATTCGCAACCTAATGTCAACTATAAAATCCCCATTTCGAAATAACAGATAAAAAACCAAGAAAGATTAATGCACAAGAAAGCAGATTAGTAAAAAGAAGGATACAAGTAAAAACATGTCATGGGCAGGGATCAAAGATGTCCTATTGATCTTAAAGATTGTTTGTCTTAGCAGACATACCTCAAGTGGCAATAAAAACCATAATTTCTAGTGACGAACCTGTTCAACTAACTCTTCTAGTGGATAACTTTTTAGATTTCCTCTAGCCATTTTTGTCTTACAATAGGTGCAGTGATTCAAGCAGCCAGTGCTTATTGCCAATACCTAAATTTACGTAAATATTTAGATATTCACCTCCAAACGATGCTTAGTGAGGTAGAATGTGAGGCGCATCGCTCAGGGGTTGATCAACGCCAAAAGCTTTATCCTTTACATCTTTTACCAATTAAAGCTGGTCGAGTAGCAACTAAACTTGACTGCGATTTCACAGTATGTATTCGTCCATCCATATAGCCATGCTGAATACGGGTCAATGATGGTTTCTTGAGACGGCGTTGATAGTGAAATCCAACGTGCCCATAGAAAGGAGTTGCATGTTCTTGTACGTCGGAGGCAATTGTATTTCCTTGCGACTTCGACTTTTAAACACAGCAGTTATTACTGCGACAAGTACACCGAGCGATGGCAATGTAACAAGCTCAATCCGATCCATGTGGACGTACTTGCTAATTATTTTGACAATTAGATTAGAGCATTTATTTAATAAACACCAGTAACGGTTGCAATAAAATACCTCAATGAGCTCATTTTTCCGCATTTTCGGCAATGAAAGTTGAGCATCTGGGCGTCGTCGACTCAGTAGTCGCACTAAAAGACTACATAACAACCATGAAGCTATAAAAAAAACTCCATAAAAACAGCCTTTAGAGATATGGATGCGTTTTAAGAAGCAAGAAGAACTCGGCGTGCAGAAATTATAGGTAGTGCGATACAAAGACAGATACTCACCTGTGTTTCCTTTTAAAGTCTCTTCAACAACCTCTACTATCCTGTCTATTTGTTTTACACCCACGATAGAAACGTTTTTCAGCCATTGTTCGTCTGGTGAAGCCTATAAACTTCTCAAGTCTAAAACTTAGTCAATGGAAAGTATTAAGGAACACTGCAAAGAAGAAACGATTTAAAAAGTGTGGAAATGTATACAAATATAGAAGAAAGCAAAGTCAAGTAGTTTTGCAGACCGATATAAATATATATATGCATATATATGCAAACATATACATGTACACATAGATAGCTTTACAAGACCTGCCTTCAGATCTGCTGTGCGGATCGCAGCATTTCTCAAATTCGCTTAGTTTCCTTGCATTTATCACGTACGAATGTTTTCCAACCTTCGCGAGTGCGTTCGGCTGCTGCTTGCGGATCATGTCCTTCACTATCAATATTGGTGAACGCTGATCAGGTAGGTTCTCCATGCCGTTCTAGCTTAGGCGTATCCACGTGGATTTCAGAGAGTTAGTTAGTCCCTGACAAGTATGGAACCGGTTTCCTGACCCCCAAAAAACGGTTGCAACTCTTGGACGTGATAATCTGATGTGATATGTAAAAATACACCTATACTACAAAGCTGACAAACACTACCTATCAAAACTACAGGATTGGTTGCAAGTTTTTTTTCCAAAGACCAGAAATTATAGGCGACCATAACAGTAAGTTAAACACTTTGACAGTTTAAGGTCAGATTACTAATTACTTACTTGGATGGCTCCTTTGTGGATCAGGAGATTTGCCACCATACGACTAATTTGTTACCGAAACGGTGGTGGTTCTTGGTATTGCTATTGGTTTACTCTTAGCTAGGCTTCCTGATGGCAACGCCGGGCTCCTCAGCTTGGGGTACTGCTGGTGGGATGAATCACCTCGGTGTACATCGCAGCCCGACACTCAGGAACATCTCCCAGCCACGGTAAGGCGGTAAACGGTTGGGAGGATTCCTTAGTACAGTGTGCGAATATTCAAAAAATTTTTATTGCTAAAATATCACTAGTATTAGAGTTCTGAAGTGTCACGAAGAAAAGAAAATGCAAACCAACTTGTAGTATTTCGCTCAGGGCGCTGTATGGTAAATTTTATAAAAAGGAAAAAGGCAAAAAATTCCGAACGAAATCTCATGAAGAAAACCAGACCATTTGTGGCGGAAGACGGTAAGCCAGCTTAAATTAATCGAACCTGTGATACGCACCCTGCCATGACGATGAACTTCCCTTGTTTTCTCCCTTCCTGTAGCAAATTATTCGCCACTGTTTCCGACGGAGTTTTCACCGTACAAGTGTTCAAAACCCAAATTTTTGCATCACAAGATCTTCTCACAATAGGGTATCCAGCCTAAAATTATCATTAACATAACCGGCAGTTTTTTTGTTTCTCGATATTTCCATTAAGACCTACGTTTTCCCCATTCCTCACATAGAAAACCACTAAATTAAAACTAAAAGATAACCAAAATGCCAAATTTGAAAGCAAAACTCTGCAAACATGAAAAATCATAAATTTTCATCGGTAAAACGGCTCCGTTTTCAGAAATAGATAAGAACAAAACTGACGATAAAGCAGAAACAGAACAAAAATGTTAAGCACTCACTTTTGCAAGAACACCTGCCATGTATTCACTATCGCTACTGTTGTGAGAACAACCCCATGTTTTAATCCATACAGGAGCTACTCCGGGTACGAAGGAATCCATCTGACCAAGTTCGACTGGATCTCGTTTAGAGCTAAGATGTAAAATTCGTGTGCGACATACCTCCTTCATCACGTTGCATAGTTAGATTGATTTGTTAAACAGAGAAATAAGAAAGTGTTTAAAAGAGTGTATGAATGAAAAAAAACTATGATGACTCTCATGACTTTAAAATAAGTAAGTACATAATGCACAGATAGGTTATGAAACTAACCGAATCTTTATTTGAACTTCGTCGATCTTACGCGAATCGCTTTCAGTACATATGTCAAAGTCGTCTTCAATATCCGCCATTCTACCTAAATACAGGAAAAAATTGAATAAGGGCCGTCCTCAATTAACAATCACGCGACGAAGTTGACCTGTAAAACGATTTCTATAGGAGTCATACGCTGCGAAAATAATAGTTGACTCCAACTTTAAATCGACATATCTCAGAACATAGTGAATTTTAGTAGTTGCAATAAAAACTGTTGGAAGATATAAATACTTGACAACAACAGAGTAATTTCATTGTTTTAATAAAGGATAAAGCTCCTGGCGTAGATCAATCCCTGATATATGGTATGCGCCATGCATTCGACTTCATTAAGCATCGTTTGGAGGGGATTGAATGCATATCTGGCCTTTGCAATGGCTCGCGGCGGCCTACCGATGTAACGAATCAATGCTGCTCTCCTTCCAGAGAAGTCCGGTACAAAATTGCCGACCCGGAAGGGACTGAAGGCTTGGTGGGCTTTCGGCGTGAGAATCGATCCCATATGTATCGCAGGGCGCTTCCGACCACTGTGCTACGCGCGCCCGCTCTCTTGTTCTACACCAGTGAAATTAAATAAGTAGGATCTTATCCAACAAAACACACTATGTCTTCACAACACACCTTATATTGAATACCTTACCAACACACACCGTACCCAACTTGAGAAAGTTCTCGCTATCGATATAATAAAAGTCAACATTTCTAAATTTGACAGGACACTGCTTAAAAATTACATATGCGATTAAATGCGATAGAGCAATGTCTCTTAAATCCTCCCCCCCTAAAGCAAAAAAAAAAACCAAAGTCACCGAAAACCCACGAGGTTCTTAACTCCTGAAATCGTCCGTTATTGGGAAATCGGCTTCGACGTGAATGGTTTACAAAATACTATATGCTGCAGCTACCTAAACAAATTATGTCAGGAAATAACAGGTCTTAGATCACCAGAAATGAATTTAACTGTCCAATTAATTCGCTTCGTAACAAGACGATTTCAATAGGAAAAAATGGACATAGGAAAAAACAAATCAACAACATCCCACACCCAATACACTCTCACAGGCTAGGATAAAATGGTATTAAACCTCTGAAAAGAATATCGTACACTACTCAAATGACCATCGCAACGGTTTACCGCCTCACCGTGACTAGCTTCCAAGCTGAAAAGGAGCACAGCGTTTCCATCAAGAAGGCCAGGCAGGAGTAAACCAACACTTGATATCCTAGCCCACCATCTTGGTATCAAACCAGCCGCATGGTAGAGAGAACATTCTTCATCAAAACTGGAATGTTCTCTATGTAAACACCTCGCATGCTGTTTCCCATGACGATCTGATAACGTCACGTTTAACATTTCGTAGGCTGTTATCTCATGTGAATATCTGCGGTTGCAGTCCTATGCTTTGAATATCGCCTTATCATATTGCAATACTTGACAAATGTTTCCAACACCTCTTAGTGGCAAACCGCCTCTCCATCAACTCCATCCCGAGACCACCCACCAGAAAGTGAATATAAACCGCTCCTCGGTTAGCTCGTTCAGTTCACAGCAATGCTGCCCAAGTTACCGTGTCCTTTTCTCACATCCAACTCATGTACTAAAATTCATATGATAACCTCTTCACTTATAGGTAACCTGAACCACCAGTGAACCAGGTTGTACCCATTTATTACTCCTACCATTGTTGTATCAACTGTACAGTTTGTACTGTTATGCCGTAATTGTTGTATTAACATAATTATTATGTATAATAATAATTTTTTGAGGCAAGTTATGACATTTTAAATAACACAGTTAAAACGCTTGTTTGTTTCTGAACGTCCTCAACCGTTTACCGCCTCGTCGTGGCTGGGAGGTGTTCCTGGGTGTCGAGCTGCGATGTACAGCGGGGGATTCATCTCTGACAGGATCTTTCAAACTGAGGAGTCCGGCGTTTACATCAGGAAGCCTAGCTAAGAGTAATTCAATACCAGGATCAACCACCGTCCTGGTACCAAGCACGATGGCAAATCTCGCTCTGACGCACAGAGGCGGCGAGGGCCTGTGGGGGTGACGACCTGGGGTATAGACTTTGGGTAGGCCGATCTCGAGACTCCAAGGAATCACAATTGCTAAACCAACAAACTCCAAAAAAGTGGAAATTATGCTGCGGGCCGCACAACCAGTGAAGACGGCCATCCAAGTATCCAAGTAGATTCCCTACTTAGATGATTTTGTAGTTCCTGTTATTTTATTCCACATAAATACGCTGACAAAATCAGACTGCTAGATAACACATCTAGTACACATATATCAGCGCTTTTCTACATATTTCCCAATCTGGCTTCACTAAGACTATCGCCTTTAACTACGCAAGAACCCCAAACATTCTCATGAAAGTCAGTAGCCGTCTTCTTCAAAACTCCTAAACGTCTCCTAAACATAACAGAAACAATTCCTGCTACTCGCAATAGCACACTTTTCCCAATTAGTCAGACCACTTAGGAGGTGCTAGGAAGACATATCAGGGGACAGAACCACTCAATATAACCGGTTTTCCAACCACCAGAAGCAACTGCTGCTGAAGAGTTAGTAAGCTCACTTTTATATACAATCTGAATGTAATAGCTGTACAATGTACACGAGTAAACATGAAATGTATAGCAACTTACTTTAATTCAATGTGTCATGGAACAGATTCAAAGCTGAATGCTAGGCATACGTTTTCGAGATAAACTGACAGAGTAGTAAGGACAAAACAGTGCTCATGTAGGACAACGAGCTTTCTCCTAACTATAGAACGGGTATGGAATTAATTCAGTCATACGGCATCGCCGAACTGGACTAGGTGGTGAGATGCAACTATTTCAAAGATACCCTACGGCAATGAGAACACTTAGTAGTGACCTGACACTGCAAAAAATAACACTACAAAAGATGGGTGATACGTCGAAAGAAGACAAAACTATCATTCTAAACTCAATCAATCAATAATGGGTACAATGGTGGGAATAGGTGGTGCATACGTCTCCAAATGTTAGAAAAAATGCTTAAATTCTATTATATAGATAGATACGAAAGCTCAAATATGGAGAGGAAAAGCCCCTAAACCATCCATCACAGATGATAGGAAGACAAAAATGACTTGTTGTTCTTTGCTGTTGGTCGACGGCTGCGTTTCAGCGATTTCGCCTTTCTCAGAGCCGTGCTTTGCCACTCGTAACAGTACGGCTTTGAGGAAGGCGATGTCGCCGAAACTTCAGCCATCGACCAACGACAAAAATGACTTGTTCTACCTAGAGGTATTCAAATCAGAACAAATTATCTAATGACAGCACAAAAATAGAAATAATGCAAGCCTCATGTCACGTTATGAATAAACGAGGTATCGTAGTTCATGATCAATGTCTTCAGAAATGTCATCTCTCGACGTGTATTCTCAAAAATCACTCGAGGGTCTTCACTTTCACACCTGGAAAATACACCCTTGTATTACGTTGGAGACAAAAATGTAACTTTACAAAACTAAATATGTGGTCAAACCTAAAATGAAACAAGTAAAAAAGTATAAAGATCTCGATGTTGATCAATCCCTGAGCGATGCACCATACATTCGACTTCATTAGGCATCGTTGGAGGTGATTGAATGCATATTTGGCCTTTATAACGATTCGCAGCGGCCTACCAATGCACACAGCCAGTGCTGCAATCCGCCCAGAAAAGTCGGGTACCAATTTGCCGACCTTGGGGGGATGGAAGGCTTGGTGAGCTTTGGAATCAGAGATCGGTTCCATGTGTATTATAGCGCCCTACCTACCACTGCACTACACGAAATAAAATAGGTATTAATAACAAATAAATAAACTGCAATTTCTGTCGAGCTGTTCAGAAACATCCAATATACTTCGAAACTTAACGATGCTTAGAGCCCTAGGCTGGAATGACAATTGTACAATCGTTGCACGAATCATAACACGTTTTAGGAAAATTCTCCTTACCCTTCCAAAGAACCACAACTTAATCAAGATAATATTAAATAAAAAGAGTGAAACCACGTTAGTCAATGGTACTGATAAACCACCTCAACACATTTGGAGCCATAACCATTGCAAGGTTCGAAGCATCCATTTTTGTATGAGCAACGACTTCATCTCGAGACAGATCCTAAAGTGGTTTCAGTATATTCAACACTAACAACCAGACAATGAAAATCACATAAATTTGATAAAGAACTGAATTCGATTGCGACTTTTGTGACAATTGTTCCCGGTTTACATGGTTGTGGATAGCAAATATTCAAAGACAAAAATTTTCTGAACACAGACCTGCAAACAGGACACTAGTTTTGCAAGAACAAGTTGATTGATGTTTGGAAGCACTTGAACAAGTCGAGAAACTTCCGCAGGACTCTCTGAAGAAGTAAGGGCCCGGTGGTAGAACGCATGAGGAATCAGTGGCTCTGGTAACTGCCGAAGCCAGAGTTTTAACAATCCTGCTGGAACGTGTGCATCGTGCACCACAGGAACGACAAACATATCCAGTCGAGCACGGGTGGTCATCAGTTGGTCAGGATCAGCTGCCACTCTAAAAACTTGCTTAACGTATTCAGCAAAGTTTGTTCTTATTAATGGGACTTCATAATGTTTAAATCATACATCTAACAATACCACTAAGAACAAAAAGTGATAGATCTCTCAGCGTTGATCAGTACCTGAGGGATACTTCATGCATTCGACTTCATCAAGTATCGTTTGGAGGTGATTGAAGGCATATCTGGCCCTTACGATGAATCGCGGTTGTTTACCGATATATCGAGCCAGTGCTGCTATCCTCCCAGACAATTCTGGTAGCAATTTGCTGACCCCGAAAGGATGGAAGACTTAGTGAGCCTGGGGCACAAGGAGCGATCCCATGTGTATTGAAGGGCTCTTCCGACCGCCGTGCGCCAATCGATAACACCACTACGAAAGTTATAATAACAAGGAAACTAGTGATAAGTGATAACAATAATAATAACAGTAATAATAATAGTAGTAATGGTGGCAACATAAAATAGTGAACGGGTGTGGCGTAGTGGTCGCAGGCGCCCTGTAATACATATGGTGTTGATCTTCGCGCCCCTGGCCCACCAAGGCCTCCATCCTTCCGGAGTTGGCAAACTGGTAACAGATTTGTCTGGGAGGACAGCGGCACTGACTCGATACATCGGTAGGCCATCGCGAGTCATTTCAAATGCAATACATGCATTCACTCACTTGCAACGATACTTAATGAAGTCGAATACATGGCGCATCCCTCATGGATTGATCAACTCCGAGAGCATTATTCTTTACCCTTTTAATAATTAATCGTTTTCTTTCTCAGCAATTGCGAGGATGTTAAACAGCATGCGTTTACTTCCATACAATAACACACATACAACACAATCGTAGCTGATGTTTCGGCAGAATCGCCTTCTTCAGAGCCTGGAAGGGTACACTAATACGCAACTTACCAGGTCAAACACCTCAACAGCACAAACAGAAAGATGAAAATCTAAACTATAATTATAAGATCTACGGCTTCTAAAAAGCCCACGGCTTTTTTCACCTGTCTTTCACCGAGGAAAAAGAGCCGCTCAGAGTCGCATATGGTTAATGACTACCCCACCTCACATCAACGATCGACACGAAGGTAAGGGCCGAGATCACGTGTGGTCTCGGGGCATTCCTCCCTGCTATTCGTTGTAGGATTTTTGGCATTTATCCAAAAAGCCTCGAGTTTGTGCGTTGGCGTTTTAGGATCACGTGCAAGGATAGCGACTTTACATCAAAATCGTCTCCGCTATGCTTTGTATCCTATGCGTAACTAGTGGCATATCTTGCCTTACTTTTCGTTTGCCATCTAGGTGCTCTTTTATGCGAATACACAAAGGTCTGGTCGGAACAAAATCGCGTTCATCTTACCCTGTATTAGCGATGAAATAAGTCTACCGATAAAGCGATGCTTAAGAAGAGCAGATCTAGAGGAATCGCTAGCGACAATTAAAATACTACCCGATTCTCTTCGTCGTTAACTAGTTCGTAACCGACTATATGACCGTCTATGTGAAACATAGAATTGCGTGATTTGCACTTATGGCAGGGACGGTGACTGCATGATTTCAGGTACGATATACCTCACCTCTTGTGGTACTTGCAGAGACGAATATATTGGCGAAGTGGACAGAGCTTTGTGTATCCGTATAAAAGAACACCTAGATGGCAAACGAAAACTAAGACGAAGTACCCCCTAGGCACGCATAGGATACAAAAGCATAGCGGAGACGATTTTGATGTAAAAGTTGCTATCCTTGCACGGAATCCTAAAACGCCAACGCGCAAACTCCTCGAGGCTTTTTGGATAAATGCCAAAAATCCTACAATGAATAGCAGGGAGGAATGCCCCGAGTCCACACGTGATCTCGCCCCTTACCTTCGTATCGATCGCTGATGAGGGGTGGTGCAGTCGTCAACCATATGCGACTCTGAGCGGCTGCTCTTCCTCGGTAGAAGATACGTGAAAAAAGCGGTGGGTTTTTGAGAAGCCGTAGATCTTGTAATTATCGTGCCGATTTCCATCTTTCTGCTTGTGCTGTTGAAGCGTTTGACGTAGTAAGTTGAGTATTAATGTACCCTTCCAGGTTCTGAAGAAGGCGATTCTGCCGAAACGTCAGCTACGGTTGTGTTGTATGTTATTGTATGGAAGTAAACGTACGCTATTTAACAATGCTAAGACAGAAAACGACGAATTTATAATCCAATACCGAGGTTAATAGAAAGTCAATCCTGGGAGCCTTTTAATAATAATAATAATAATAATAATAATAATAATAATAATAATAATAATAATAATAATAATAATAATAATAACAGCAATAGTAACAACAACAATAGCAGCAACATTGATGGGAATTCAGCTTGTTACTCGATTAGTCGGATTAATTATCGAAGTTGACGCAGCACTAAAATTATTCTGGTAAAGCCGTAAATCTTCTTGCAACCCACAGGGAAAACGGATGTTTGCGGTCCAGAACATCACTGTGTGTGTTTCTCAGAATTTCACAAAAACCATTCTCAACGAACGTTGAGCTTCTCTGTGAAGTGAGCCAATGAATCCCGAATACCTCTATGGATGACAATTGCAAAATCAGACAGCTGATGTATAAAATGTTCGGGCGCAAACGACACATGAGGACAGGTCGTTTAGATATTTATATACTTCTAATTTGTAATAGTCCTGACTGTTTCAACTATGAAGTCGTCAAGACTCAAAACTGGTGCGTTAAAAACAGCAGAATACAAATGATATACCATAAATGATACCAAACAAGTAAAACACTCTTCCCTACCTAAACAACCCTTCAGTATGCCTTGCACCTGACTCATAGAGTAAATCAATTAGTGTTACTTCGATCCACGGCAACTGAAACTGAGGGAATCTTTCAGACTGCATTTCCATCAGGTCGATCAGTGAAGCAGAGAACTGTGGGGGATTGAAAATGTGTACCTAAAGGAATTAGATAAAGCTAAGGAAACGCCGCCGAAAAATCATTAATTTTCGCTTGACTCATTCAAAAGCGAGCTACAAATATATAACTTATCTGCTAAGTCAAAATAGAGATGTCCACTAACCCTCGCTTCTTGCATTGCCGCAAGAGATGGTTTTGGTCGAATGTGTGACTTAGACAGCCTCTTTGCACACTGTTGTGCAAAGTGAGAGACGGCAACCTGCAATTTTTGGCCTGTAAAGATATTCGTGTCCCGGAAAAGCAATGACAACTAAACCTTAGGTTGGCTGGAAATCAATGCTAAGCTTTAGGAAACACGTTTCCGTTTAAAGGGGATGTATATCCAGATACGTTCTAGCACATTCTAGGCTTCTTTCTGCACTGTTGAATAGCGCAAAATTACAAATACAAAAGATAAAACGGATAGGGAATCAAAGGTGATCGTCTTCAACGAACACTACCTGAAGACAGCAAGCGTTTGGCTTTGCAAACACCAACAGTGTTCGGCGAGCGCGCCGTGCACGGTTCCAGTAAATCTGGCTGGTTTCCGTACTGAATAGATAGAAAGAACATTTTTTTTCCTCCAGATTACGCATTAAGAAGTCCCAACTAATACCATATCAACATCGAGCGCCTGTGTGGTGAATTGTCGCACAGTAATGCTTTATTATTCCACACTACCCCACGAAGGCCAACTGAACATTCAGAAGCCGGCTCACCAAATTGTTGTTGCGTTCACAGAGGAATAGTTTAAGTGCCTGCCGAGAGACATAAGAACTACGTGCTGCATCATAACAACAACCAAAGCACCCTCTAACTTCAGCCGGCAAAACTTTCTCTCAACATCCTCTATAGTTATCCAGAATGGAGTGGCCTGTTTCAAATAGCAGCCATGGGATGACGAGAAGGGCAACGGAAATGTCCATCAAAATCAGCTTCAATTCGACTTCTCTACTTGAGTAATGTAGGAGAAAATAATTAGACTTTTTCTCCTTCACAACGACGCACGAGCGCAAGTGACTCTCACGGTTCATCAATAATTGGAGATAGGCTCGCAAACTGTTGTAAATACTGCGCCCGCACTGATTTTTGTGCAACATTCTTAGACTGGAGGAAAAAATTGCTGGAAAAAAATTTGAAGAACAAAAGGACACATGAAAGTAGGTAGAAAATTACCTGAGAGACAGCCAAAATCAAGGATCCGCATAGTGTGGTGGTGAACGCTGTAACCCCAGGAGAGGGTAATAGCATGTTCGATCCCCTCCGCAGACACCTGCGGTCCGGAGTTTTGCAAACATCTCAGCATCAGCATCAAAGCTTTGCATTAATTTCCAGGCAACCAAACAGTAATCCTTACAAAGAATTCTACCTCAGGCCTATCAAATATTTTCTCTGAATTTCTATCGATAAATTCAGACAGTAGGGACGCTTGCTTTTCTGATGGCGATACAAAATTTAAGATTATCGCCAGTAACTCCCAGCCACGCCTAAATACAATCATTCTCATGAGATTGACTGCAGTACAGACATCAAAGCCAATACGAGAAGAGGTAAATAAACTTTGAAAAGTCTTAACAACCGACCTAACACTATCAGGTCGTTCGTTGTCCGTAAGCTGCTGCATAAGTTGTGCCACAGCTTCATCTGTGCACTCCTGCCTTGAAATTCCAAGTTCACAGAGATTTAGTGCTTGCTGAAAGCAGGCCGTAATTTCGTGGAAAGACTAGTATGTGTCGCCTCAAAAAGGAAGGTTCCTTTTTGTATAAGAAACTTTTAAAGAAATTTAAACACTTGGGGCATTTAACCTGATCAATTGGCATTTTGCTCTTCCTATCACCCATATATCCCTGAATAAGTTTGAAAATGGCTAGAGACTCCTTTTTAAGCTGCTTGTTATCCGGTGCAGATAACGGCTGCTTAGGTGCATCTTTTGCCCATCCTGGAAAGCAGTGAATTACGAATTAGAGCAAAATTTTGAGCAAAATTCCAGCACTCAACAGCATAGCAAATAAGATATGTCAGGTTTAACGTCAGAAAACAGATTACCATACAATGGTCGCAAAAACATGCAAACATTCTATAATTTGTTGGCCTCGAAAACATAAACATTAACTACTTATAGGCTGATAGCACCTATAAGTCAACAACACGGCTGAGAGAAAGGTGGAACGAAAGGTCCGCATGATATCGTGGTTAACGCGTTAGCCCTCGGAAAGGGTAATAGCTCGCTCGTTCCCAACCGCAGATACCAGCGGTCCGGACCTTTGCAAATATTTCAGCATCATCATGGTCATAAACATGAATCTATTAAATCGATATACGCATTTGTACTTGTTCGACATGAACAGCCCTGCTGCCGATTTAGCGATTTAGCAGGACATTCCATGTATATTGACTGCTTAGCGCTACGAATACCAGTTTGTATTGACAGAGAAAGAAAGCGCTATGTGTTGATAGAGATAAGGACTCGAAAAAGGAACAAAAACAACAGGGGTATAGCTCTTCACAAGACAGGCGCAGTTCAAATAACTCGTCCGTTTTGAGCATTTCTAGTTTCATTCTCCACCGTTTGAAACCTTACAGTTAACTGGTTTTTCTTTCAAATCAATAGAAATATCTCAAGATACAGTAAACTACAACCTCCACTGTGATTCAAAATTTTACCAGCATCTGTTGTAAAAATTGGAAAGCCATACAGTAGAATCTTTTCGACGATTTCCCCCAAGTAAAACAGCAAAAAGAGAAAAATATTGTGAGTTCCTGGGAGCGCAGTGTCTAGTGGCCTACGATGATCTTTTGTCTTAGTGACAGTACTTTAGTAAATGCTAGCCAGCAAGATACTTCCGACTTGTAAAAGAAGTACTACCACTAAGACAAAAGATCGTCTTAGCCCGACAGACAATGCACTTTCTCCAACAATGACTAGCTTTATTTCTACGGCGATAAACGTTGGGCCTTGGGAAAACTTTCGATTTGTCCAGCGCATTGGAAAAACATACTTTTATTACAAATAGATGCATAATTTCAGATAGTTACGTCAAAGGCTAAACAATACTGATGTTCCAAACCTCCTGAATTGCATTTCTTTGGACCCGTATTAGTGGAGAACAACTGCCGCTTTTGTGGTGGTGGACTGGATGACCTGTAAAGAGTTGAAAAAAAATTTAAGAGTAACATACTTACCCACTAAACTCATTCTAAACCTTAAAACGTTACTTTTGTATTTTCTTTATCTGTTATCTTCTGACATGTCCAGCTAACTACAGTTTTTTCCAACACAAACAGGTAAGAGAAAATTCGATTTGATTCGTAATATTCATAGTTAGAAGAGTAACGAGATGATAAAGATGACAAATATCTAAGAAGTTTGCATGTACAATAGTGGTACAATACTCCTCCCAACGGTTCACCGCCACATTGTGGCTGGAAAGTGTTCGTGGGCGTCGGGCTGCGATTTACAGCAGGAGAATTCACTCCTCCAGTAAGACTTCCCAAGCTGATAAGGAGCCCGATGCTTTCATCAGGAAGTCCAGTTAAAAGTAAATCCATACCGGGATCCACAACATCCCTGGTATCAAACTAGTTGCGCATGGTAGCAAATCTCTTTTCGATCCACAAAGGCGGCGACTGCTTGTGGTGGTGACGACTTGGGGAAGACTTTGGCCTGGCTGACCTCGGAGCTCTAGGAAAACAAAACGGCTAAATTAGCAAAACTCCGAGAAATGGAAATTATGCTGGACCCAGCACAACCAGTGGTGATGGGCCATCCAAGTATCCAAGTATAATACTAGTGACAAAGAACCCAAGATTGATTACACATGACAAAAAACGAGCAGCAAGTACTTCCCATAAGAATTATTCACAAAGGGCAGACTCACCGTGAAGAACGCATCGGAATCGAATCTGCTGAAGGCACAGTCGATATCGATGAAGTCGTCCCCATGGTAGGAAAAGGAGGAAACTGTCGTGGTGATCTGCCGAAATCCCTGTTATAGTCGCGATACTCACATCTATCTCCAATTGAAAGACTATCACTCTTATCGTCTAGCGACATCCACTAAAAATGAAGGGCAATTATCCTATTCAGCCATATTAGCGTACGTTAATAAAGTAACAATGAGAATTCACCCAAAGGCTAGAAGCAACTGTGAAGAAGAGACTGCACAAAGACCTTTAAAGGAAAACGATATCTCAACTGACATCAAACGATTGCTGCATTCCATTCACTGTACCATTGGACGACCGACTTGCAGTTCTGGTAACTATAACACCCGTCTCAGGCCCGATATTTTGAGCGATCACACGACGAGATCCACCCGCTACTCGTCGAATAGCCGGTGATGTTTGAGTTTCACACGTCCTTCGTACCTAAATCAAACGAAGATTTACAAGAGATTCCAGACTATTTTTTTCTAAACTTGAATCATCGGAAAGTAATCGTGCCATCCACTTACCCTTGCATGTTCAGCACCTTCAGTGTTTTCCTTCAACGTCTGCAGTTTCGCAAGTGGAATGATGTCGATCTCGGGCCCGGCTGGCCGTTGCCAGATCGTTTTCATTGATGCAGCATTGTAGTAGTAGTACCGATTCGTCTTGGAGTCAAACAGCTCCCACCATTGATTTTCATGGGTTCGTTTCCTGAAAGCAACCTCCGAAACTATCCAAAAACCTATCCATACCGCAGTTTGAAATACTTCCAATTCCTTCACATTCTTGTTGAGCAACATGAGGTGTTATTTTACTTTTTATTGGTATGAAGCCGATGTGACGGCGGATTTCGCATCTTTCAGAACATGGGAGGGTCAAATTGATTGCAACCTACTCAGCAAAACACCTCCATAACTAAAGAGAAAATGCGATAATCCAAGCTCTGAGCTCAGCAAGTGAGCTCTATGCGGTTAGTATCCACGTGGTATACTCAATGGATATAGAAAAGGAAAGAGACTTATAGAAAAGGATAAATTTTGCTTTAGCACCTTCTTTGTTTGGTTAGGGAGGTATTTGTCTACGTAGACGACTGCAGTCAACTTGACCTTTCCAGGCCCTGAAAAAGGCGAAACCCGCCGAAACGTCAACTCCATCGCAATAAAGAATAGAATACCACATCGCGCTTGCCCAACAAGAATCTAAAGAATTATCAGAACAATACCGATGTTAACAGAAAGACGGTCGTAGGAATCACTTCCCATTTTGTTCATAAGGATTGCCGTAGTTACCTCTACGATAAGCTATGTAAGAACAAACCTACTGTCGTCCTATCCTATTTACTGAAGTGACAATGCCTAAATGAAAACTAAGCATTCTTAAGGATTTCCTTACACTATGGCACCAGGTGGAGGCTCCCAAGAGCACTGGCCAGTTATCAGGTTGGCATACATGTGCTGTTTCGTCTGCGGTTCGACGATTTCGACCCACTCAACGACATTACTGCAATAGAACTCCACACTTGCCTTAAGGCACTCGTTCCCAATCAATAACAGACCTTACCTAGACACAAACGGCAGGTCGGAATCAACCGTAGCCATATTGTTGTCATTATTTAAACTCATAACTGTACCTACTACTATCCAAGCAGACCACTACAGGAACATTTCGGCGCACTAAATCACGTTGTAAATTAGTGTATAACGGGAGTAACACTAGAAATAGTAACTAGTAGTAAGCACATGAATAATTCTCACTCAGATTATGGCATAGTTGGAGAGATATCGATTTATTGAGGAAAATGTGAGGTTAGCCGTACGAACTACTGTAGCTCGCTCTTTGTGTAGTAGATGTTGGCATTCGACGCATTACTACGGAAGAACCCTTTTAAACTCAATAGCCGGCGTGGATGAGTCTGACGCTCTAAGGAGACTATTTATTTCTATTGTTTTACTAACTGCTTGTTGCTTCATTCTCTCGGAAGATGAAAAATTTGATGTGGATTGTGTTACTACTTGTATTCTTCGCTTTCTCGCTTTTTTACTTGCATAGTCGACTAGGAGCAGAACTGGTTTGTGACGTTTGTAAAACCTACTTTGTTTGATTGTAGAATAAGTTTAGCTTATTCTTGAAGTCTCCGGTTAACATACTTTTGAGCCATTAGTGTTGTTTGATCAGTGAAACTATTCCGTCATTTCGTTTCAGAATCGTCGCGAATTACTGTCGTTTTATAGAAATGGACTCAGCTTCAGGGTGTATAGTAAGTGTTGTTACCGTCGTTAGTCTGAACATGAGAACCTCCTTTGTTTACACTTTCATTTTTATAAAGCCATAAACTGTGGGCACGTTTGGTGAAGTGGTTGCAGGCGCCCTGCAATACACATGGAGTCGATCCCCGCGCCCTGGCCCACGAAGTCCTCCATCCCTCCGGGGGTTGGCAAATTGGTGCAAGACTTGTCTGGGAGGACAGCAACACTGACTCGATACATCGGTAGGCCATCGCGAATCATTGTAAAGGCTAGCTATGCATTCAGCACCTCCAACGATGCTTTATGACCAGTCCCGCTCGTAGCAGCACGGCTGAGGAAGGCGAAATCACCGAAACGTCAGCACAACACCAACAACAGCACTAACAAAAACAGCAACAACAACGACAACTAACACTTTTACCAACTTCGCTCAGCTAAACATGATCAGTTCATAAGATGATATAAATAAATAGATGCTTAATGAAGTCGAATGCATTGCGCATCCCTAAGGGATTGATCAACGACGAAGATCTTATCCTTTTAAGCCTTATATCTGGAAATTCGGTTTTTTCTACAGAGTAAGACCTAATTTGCAGTTAAGTCCAGTTAGTTTTTCCATCAATATTTCACTGTTGCTTCAGATAACCACTCTTTTTCCTGTATGCAATTTCCAAAAGACATGTCATTGTATCCCAAGTGCTATGAAAAGATGATATGGATGTTTAGCGGATGGAAAACACATAAGTGTTACGCAGAATACGGAATTGACGGGTTAATGTTATATGTCTGTATAGAACTTTCCATGTGTTTTTATTTATAAGACTTTGTTTAAGATCCTTATGTTCCTTCCGACGTTATCTCTCAGTGGTTGAAAATCATTGCCCTCCTTTGCCTTCGGAAAGCGTCAGTTATAAATTAGTCGAAACTGATACGATTGCCAAGGTATGCTAAAATGTTTCTCCTAACTATCTCACGTCAATGCAGTTTTGTACTAGTCAGTTTGAGAACTTTTTTTTAATTTGATGCTTTCGTAATTTCCCATTTCCAGGGCTGAGAACATTCTTAAAGAAATAGGGTGATACGCGTTGGAGCTCACCTCAGCACGATTCTTTTCACTGGTATCATGTCTACCCTCTATGGGTATCGCCTACAGAACCCCTATTCTTTGTAGCACGCGCCATGAATCGAATCAATCCACGTTGACCAAGATGATATCAAACAAAGGTTGAGGGCCTTGTTAATAAGTCTGGTCAGTAAGCGATGTATATGCTGCACCGGATGTTGTTGTGCCCTCCTAACTAGCGCAGCAGTGTGTTGGGGAATAATATCAAACATACTGTCTAACACACTTGATAAGTAATCTATCAACAACACGAAATATACAGTATAGAACCCGTACCTGGCAGGGAGAATTGTGAGTTGGTATCAACTCACTTTTGCAAATCTGTCCTCGCCTCGTATGAGGGGAACTCGCCTCATGTGCTTGTATTGTATGCGTCTCGAAGAATTGAATATTTAAAAATAAGAGGTGGTGGAGTTATCGAACACTCTATCCAAAACTGCTGGAAGTATATCTTATCACGTAGGTGGAGGTGCGAATAAAATATATGGAGAACTAAACTACGTTCATGAAAGATTCCACTATGAGGTTTGAAGCTTTGACGTACATGGCTTAGGGGACGGTTTATGTTTGTGCAGTGTATAAAAGGAGGATCAAGTGTCCGAACATTTTGGCATTCCTGAACCTTGCCTTTCTTATTATTAGACCAAGTTGTTGTTCCTTGTTTGGTTCTAATTTATTCTTGCGAACTTCCTACTCTGCCATTTTCAACCCTCAATATTCTCCGTTACAGTAAACAATGTCTTATAAGCTTATAACCGGATTTCTGTTGCCCTATAGTATATATTCCTTTTCCCATAACTTTTCTTCACGAGATTCAGAGCGATTTTAGCCATCTACCGATCTCCAGAAGCTCCTTGATACACTTGGCCACATGAAGTTTTCATATATGAAGGATCGCCTTACTCAGGATTGGTCAAGCTGGAATGAAGCATTACAACGAACGTTTTCTAGGTATTCGAATTCCATGAAGAACAGGAAAAAAATGAATGTGAGTTAGTGTATGTTTATTGCTTGGTGCACCTACTACGATTTGTATTTGTATCTTCAATTATTTTCGGAACCAAAGAACGCGTATGCTGTCAAAGGGAGATGCTTTATATACGTGATGCATTAAATAACAGCCGTTCTAACAACTGCCTTTTCAAATACGTTCTTATTTCTGGCTTGTTCTTTTTGTTCCTTGCCAAAAAACTAATTCCGTAATTTTCCGACTGATCGGACCGATTGACCCTGATTTCTAGCATTTTGGCGTATTTGGCGGCGTCTTGGATTTTAGTTAACGCAGGTCAACGTAGGTCCAAATTGTCTTCCACTTGCGAAAATGAGTACTGTTGTTGTGATTCTACAAATTGCTCCTCGATAACCGATAAGACTGAGTGAAAAACCATCTCGTTTACGTCGCGTCCAAATTTCCAGTGCATACGTAAGGTCAGAAGAGAATGGTATTGTCAAGAATGTTCTTTGTCTTCTTCACTAACTCCTTGGCGCTCTTTCCAGGGCGGCCTCATCCTCCTACTCAGTTCTCGGGTTGTTCAACTTCGCCGATTTCAGAAACCAAGCACATAAACAGGAGGATTCGGAGGAATTTCTTCCGCAATTAACTTCCTTGGTCAGTACAACTGTTGGAGTGCCTCGTGCAAGACTAATAGGCTATAAAATGAATTGAAATGATGTTCATTTGACGAGTTTTCAAAGAATCCTTTCCTTTTTTCCTTTTTCCAATTCCTCTTTTTTTGAAAATGGACTAGGTAGTATGAATTACAATGAATTTTCGGTAGTAAAGTCGGTCATCACGAGCACGGTGTTGGTTCGATTCCTCCCGGGTTACCAAGCTTCTAATCCCTCCGGCGTCGGCAAAGTGGTACCAGACTTCTCTGGGAGGATAGAAGCACTGGCTCGATACATCGGCGGGTCACTACGAGTAATTGTGAACTACAGATATGCATTCGATCAACTCCAACGATGCTTAATGAAGCAGAAAGCATGGCGCATCCCGCAGGGACTGATTAACGCCGAGAGCTTTTCGTCTTTTATTTCGCATGGAGTTAATTTTGATTCGGATGTGCTGATTTCCCAAAACGAGGTGATCATTCTTCAATAACTAGAAGACTTTTGGGATGTATGTGAAAATGACATGGTTGTAAAGGACACTGCCCTATCGCTATTTGGGAGTTAGTGGTATTTATTTTATATATACTAAATGTTAATGTGGGCTATTATTCAAACACGTTTTTGTCAGCGTTTGAAAGTGGTTTGTCTTATGATTTATGTTCCGCTTCTCACTGCTTTTAATACACGCACATTACATGGATAGGCCTGTCTTCACTGGTTGTGCGAGCCTCAACAAAATTGCCACTTTTTCGGAGTTTTCTTCGTTCATCCACAGTGTTTTCCTTGAGTTCCGAGGTCAGTTTAGCCGAAGTCCGCGCCAGGTCGGCACCACCACGTGAACCCTCTGCCTTTTGGATCAGAGGGAGATTTGCCACCATGCGACTAGTTTGACAATAGGGTGGTGGTGCATTCTGGTATTTCTTTACTCTTAGCTAGGCTTTTTGATGGAAACGCCGGTGTACTTCTCAGCTTGCGTATTGCCAATGTCCGGTAGAGTATCTTTGTGGATAAACAGTCGTATGGTTATAAGAGTTATGGGAAAAGTTGCTTTACGAGAAAATAAACCGTCAAAGCAAAAGCGATACATACAGCACATACATAAATAAATAACGAGGCATGAATACGCTGCGACAGGCTTTCTATTAACCTCTGGATTGATCAAATAGTTCTCGATATTTTTGTTGAGCAAACACGAGGTGTTACTTTGTTCTTTATTCTGTTAAAGCTGACGTTTCAGCAGTACCGTCTTTTTCTGGGTTCTCATCGACCACCAGCGACTCTAATCAACTGTTCTTACCTGGAAGGCGCGTAACGTAATAACGGCTCTGAAGAAAGCGATACTGCCGAAACGTCGACTTTAGCAGAATAAAGAGTAAAGTAACCCCTCATGTAAATGGCATTAATTTTGTAAAAATTGACCCGTTGTGTTTTAATTCAGTTCATATCGTTCCCAATTTTCGTAACAAATTTGTCTTAAATGAATTGCAAGTGATTTGACTGCTTTTCAGTTTTTTGTTTGTACAAGCTTTTAATCTCTTAAAGAGATCTTTTCTCCACTGCAGGTAATGCTTCATATGGGGGTACTGGCGGATCCGAATATTAATTTTGGACAGAGATCTAACAGTGGTGGACCACTGGGTGAATTACTACAATGGACAGATCTTATCGCTTGTCTATTCCTGTTAGGACACAATTTATACATATCCACGGATAAAGCAACACTTCTACAGTTAGTTTTTCGTGTAAATTCTATGGTTTATTACGCTTTCTAACACGCGACGAATTGACTTTGCTATGTGTTATGCCAATGCGGAGATGACACCTGCTTTCAAGTTTAAATCAACAGCTCTTAGCTCATAACGAATTGTATTATTTGCAGTAGAAACTGTTATAATCTATAAATCTTCGCATGCAGAGAAAAATTCTTTTACTATGATGAAATTCTGATTTCCTGAAACCTATTTAATCCTTCTAAGTCCATATTTTGAACACGAGACTAAATGAGTTTCATCCACACGATGGCACCAGGTATATCCTTTGTAACTCTCGTGACTGACTTTCTAGTAACCTCGCCATCGATCGAACAATTCTTTATATTCTTGTTTAGCAAGCACTAGGTTATTTTATTTCTCTACTTACGCACAAGCTGACGTCTCAGCCGATTTGGTTCTCCTCAGAGCTTGGCAAGTCAAGTTGACCGCAATCAACCAAGCCAAACACCTCCATAACGAAGTAGAAAAAGTGCTAAACCAGGATTTCAATCACGTTGAGCACAGAACAGCTTCTTTGCACACTCACCAGTTTCTATGAGTCTTCCACTGAATTTGTCACGTGGAGGCCAACCGCACAGAGTTCACATGGAAGCGTAATGTGCCCATCCCACCAGAATAACAGCCTTATATATTGTCCACTATCACTCGTGATTATAAGGTATTCATCGCTGCGGCTCATTTTCAGATTTTTGGAATTAATCCAGAATGCCTCGAGAGTGCGCGCTTGTGTTTTCCATTCCTGTGTGAGAATCACAACCCTACTTCAAAATTCTTCCCGTTATGTCTCTGCGTCCTCGCACACTTTACAAGATATCAGATGGTCTGTACCCGAACTCATACAGTCACCTTCTCTACCATTGAGGCAAATTATGCAACTTTGCGTTGCACATAGACCGTCATACAGGCAGTTACGAACTAGCTGGTGTCTTAGAGTACTCGGTGGCATTTCAATTACGGTTACCGAATCCTCTAGACCGGTTCTTAAGCAGCGTTTTATATCTGCACTAACTTCATTTGAAATGAAGGGCAGGATAAACTGTACCTTATTATCGCTGGAGTTGTCATTTGGGTGTTTGGGGTTTCTTTTACACATATTCTAAGTACAGTTTGGTAGTCATTAGAATGGCTATTTGCCGCGCCAAGTTCCGGGACTCTTCTCGCTGCTCTCTTTCTGTGTAGACCCTGAGTGAGAATATCCTTTATGTTTGCAGCACTTTCCCCTCTTCCTTTGAACATAACTGAGCATATTAATGTTGTTATCAATCTTTCGAAAGTGCTAATTCACAACATATCAAAGTTTGACAAAACGCTTTATGAAAATCATATATGATTTTAATGCGAGAATGAGGCCACTTCTTGAAGTGTACAACTTCCGAACTTTAGAAATACTTTAATGATGGAGTAATTATCGTCAGTTATTGAAAAATCGGCTTTATCGCGGAAGCGTTGGATTTTCAGGCATTTTTTTTTTTTTTTTTCCGCCCCTACGTATCGTCTTTCTCTTGCAATTTCCAACAAATTATATCACTGTTGACGAATTTTTAGGCATGTGGATCTGTTCCCTGTAGGTTCCCCTTGCCCAAATAACCGTCAAGGCGTTGATTTGATCATCACTGACATTGTCGGATTGCGCTCATTTAACAGTCGAAAGGATTTCATAGTGCAGCACAAGTACGTGAACCACGTCTCATTCTTGATGTTCTGAAAAATGATTTGCATTGTGATATTATTGCTTTCTACCTTAAAGATGTCGCATACGTCTGCTTGATAGCTTTGGGACACATGTAGAATTCAACTACAAGTCCTATTTCAATGCTCATCAGAGCGATTTGGGAATGCAAGGTACAGTGACAACGTTAAAAATTATTAAAATACAGAAACGGTTCTAGGTTTTGACATGGTGATGAACTTGTGAGTCACCAGTGGCATCTGTTGCAGGTAAATCTAGAAACCCATGGGGAGGAAACGAACTTAAACTTCTACAGTATTGGACATTTTTTCCTCATACTCCCGACAACGATTTCCTTGGTTTTGCGATTCATAAGTCCAACACGAAGCCAATGTTTGAACGAAATTCGCGTGGTCGGCCTGTCTCGTTAATTTATGGAAAGGAGAAATATATGTGGAGTGGTTCTGAAGCAGTCATAGATATATTGAAAAACCTTACTGAGGTATTTCTTTAGAGGTATTTCGTAGTATTCTGTACGAAATCTAACCTTAGTTGGACGATTTTAGGTCCACGCTACTGTCGCTGATGCAAAAGATTCAAGCGGCATGTTTTCCAATGTGACAAATCACGGTTTTTTGAACGGGTCAGCTATAGCTGCTTTGATGAAATCATCCAACATTTTTTTTGGTCTTGGATTTCCTTTAGAAGGTTTGTAACATCTTATCGTATTCATCTACTATGGCAGCACTAATTCTTTTTACTTCGTAGTTTTCTTTGATGAGGCCAAATATTTGATTGTTTTTGAAATATCCGGAGACTTTATTTTTGTGTTGTACCGGTACCGTTGCACGGATTTTCCACAGAGGAATTTTGAAGTGGTAATATTAGTCTACGTACCTATCATGAGGTGAAAGGTAGTGTGTTGAAACGGAGGAAAAGTGAATTTGTGTTGCTTTGGAGATCTATAGAGATGCCTAGTTTGGACTTCTTTTCTTTGACTGTTTTTCCGAATATTTTCCGACAAATAAACCGCACGTATAGCGCGAGTATTTCAAGCGGTTTGTAAGTTTAGCAAGATTCTACAATAGCAGTTCTAGTAACGGGAGCTTTTTATGGGTATCTCTTGCAAAAGTTGTGAAGTTAAGGATAGTACTTGTTTGGACACATGGACGGTTCGTCTTCACCGGTTGTGCGGGCTACAGCATAATCTCCATTTTTGGAGTTTTTCTGGTTTAGCCATTGTGTTTACCTAGAGTCCCGAGGTCAGTCTGGCCAAAGTCTGCTCCAATTCTCAAAATTGGACTAGTAAATCAGAGATTTCCACTCACTCATTTGGACTTTGTGTTAAAATTCCTTTCACACTGTATCGTCACCTTGGAAGTTTTATCTTTTCGTACAGTGCACAAAAACTTAAATCCTTAAAATGACGGATTTGGTTATTTGAGTTTTTAGATTTCCTTTGTTTGCTTCAGATACATTTTTTCTCGTTAATTTGCAATTATTTAATCATGGACGAACTTAAGTGAGGTCCTTCTCGAAGTTTTGCTATAAAATTTTAAGGTCCTGCTCCGCTGGAGGCAATAGCATATGGTGCAGTATTCATCAACCCAAAGTTCAATCCACCTAAGTCGCGTCGGAACATGATGTTTCTTCATGAGAAGCCAACACTTAGAGAGGTACAGTTTTATCCTGTTTTTATTCGTGCTGGAATTGTTTTAAATCTTTAGTGGTAGTTTTGTGCTTCATTGAAATGCACACTTTTCAACAGTTATGTTTGCAATCGCTTATAGAGCTTTTCTCCTTGTTTTCCAGTTCACTAGTCAGTTGCCTTATCTGGAACGCTTCGGTAAACCACACGTCTACACTGTTGACTTTAGTAACACGTCTGCACTAAAAAATGCTATAATGCAGGCGATAAAGGAAAAGGTAATTTTTGTACGTCTCTCCTGAAGGTGTCATTTTTTCATGACATTCCTATGAGCTACTTTCTATTTAGTTTAGAAATTATAGAGATCTTTGAAGTTGAATTCATTATTCGACCGGCTTTAACTTTCACCAGTTTACATTTATAAATAAGATATCGTGAACGTTGGTGTATTATTGTACAAGTTAAATTTCAGCCTGATCCGTTCGTACCTGAAGAATATACACCGGAAGGGATGTCAATTCGAGTGCACGTGCTGGCTTCCCGAGATCTCTGTTCAAATACTTCCGTTTGGCCACCAATTCATGCATTTTTGGTAGTGTTTGCTTGTACATGCTTAATTTAAATTGATGGAGCCGTCTAATAACAGTTATAATATGTTTATTCATATGTTCTTATGGGTTGATCTCGTTGAGCTAACGCGAAGTTGTTATAAGTTGTCCTTCTCCCTTGCGCACTTGCACGGCTCTGAGGAAGGTGAAATCACCGAAACGTGAGTCATCGACGAACAACAACAACAATATCAAAAACAACGACAACTATACCAATCTTGCATGAACTCAACAAAATCAGTTTATACGAACATATAACTAATCATATCAACTTTTTATGCCGAGGTGTATAAAAGGTTGGTCTTTTGAACTTTTGCAATATTTTTATATAAGCCTAAGAAAATCTCGTTGTATAGTACATCTAGTTCTAGAGCTACCGATTATTTCATTCTTTCCCTTCACTCTAGAAGGAGTGTTAATTCGTGTTTTTTCAGCCGAAATTGGGTGTTTCGGACATGTCATGTGAAGATGTATGTCATGGCTCAAATTTTGTGTGCGAGCCATCTTTTTTCTCACTCATTAATTCTGCCACTCTCATGGAAAGGTACAATGGTATTATAAGATTTAGTTATTTATTTGATTATGTGGTATTACGAACACAAGAGAAAACAAAATACCAAGTTTTGTCCTCTTGATTTCACCTTACTGTTATTACCAATGTTGGTCTTTAAGCAAGATTACTGGCTCCTTGAACGATGTTCCAACGGCTATGGTATCGGTAAGGTTATGAAAGATTCACATACATCCACTGTGGTAGTGTTAGCTGTCAGATTGGGGATGAGATCTTGGTGTTTTTATCGCTTTTTGGGAAATACCCTTGTCTTGTTGGGCTCCTCCATGAAAGGTTATGTGTACTTACTGGTATCTCGTTCTCTCCTACAAAGCATGGTGAAGGTTGTTTGTTGGAAACTTCTGAATACCGCTTACCATTTGTTTTTTAATCAGTTGATCATGTATTCCGATCGTGCGAGTGAAATTGGGTAAAGGAATTCATTCCCTGGATCAGTTATGGCAATGCGCGCCCACATGGATGTTTTTGGTCCATGTATTACATCTTATCCGTCATTTAAGGTGCGCGGCATATCCCATTTATCAAACGTCCTAATATATAGTTAAGATCTGTTTCTAAACATACTGTCAGTTTTTGGGGCTTGGGAAGAAATGAGTGTTTAATCACAATGATGCTGAGATATTTGCAAAACTCCGGACCGCAGGTGTCAGTCGTGGGGAACGAACGCGCTGTAGACCTCCGGGAGCTAACACGTTCTCCACAGCACCATGCGGGCCCTTCGTTTCGCTAGGCTCTCAACTAGTTCTATCGACCAGTGCCATCAGCATTCACCCGTAAACGGGATTGAGCCGAAATCGGGAATGAACCTAGTTAAGCTGAGGCTGTAATCGACATTACAGTGTTAAACGAAGGACCCATATGGTGTGGTGGTGAACGCGTTACCCCCCGGAAAGGACATAGCGCGTTCGTTCCCCACTATAGACACCTGCGGTTCAGAGTTTTGCAAATATCTCAGCAACGTTGTGGTTGTATTTCGCTTAGTACTCTGCCGCGAAATTATAGTAGGCAGAAAATAAAAAGGTATAACAGTGCAGGGTTTGTTTGATCTCTTCTTTTCAATGAGTTTTTTCCCTCTGTTTTGAGAAGTACCAGTCAGGCGTTCATAGTGCTTTTCTGTGCCTTCTGTGTTCCTTCACAGATTTAGTTAACTTATTCGGCGAGTTTTATTGGAACTATATGAATTCCCGCTTTTCTTTTTTGTTCGTCATCACCGTTTAATGTTCTGCTTCTAAAAATTGTTTAGAATACAACCATCATTTAATGTTTTCATGCAAGGAAATCGATAAAAGTAGCAGATTTGCCTTGGTTTTGTAAGTTGTCTACATTTGTACTCACTTGAATACTTGGATGACTCGCCTTCACTGGTTGCAGTCTTCCAGCATAGTTCTCTTTTTTTTCGGAGTTTTGCCGGTTTAGTCGTTGTGGTTCACTGAAATTTCCGAGATCAACCTAGCCAAAGTCTTCCCCAGGTCGTCACCACCACAGGCAGTCGCTCATGCTACTAGTTTGACACCAGGACGGTGGTGGATCTTGATATTGGTACTAGTTTTCTCCTAGCTAGTCGTTACTGACAGAAACAAGGGACGCCTCAGATTGGGAGGCCTTGGTGGGGGATGAGTCCCACCGCTGTACATCGCAGCCCTAACACCCTGGAATACCTCCCAGCCACGATGAGGCGGTAAACTGTTTACCTTTATACACGGACAAAGTGTATTACGTAATTATATTGTTAGACGATAAAAATATCTGCATTTACTTCATAATATGACTGAGACCTATTGGAAAATGTATAGTCTGCAGCATTAGAATCGTTGTTTTCCCGTCGAAGTTTTCGAAATGCGTTATATTCCTTGCTTTCGCAAAAATTGGTTCTGATGCAATGTTTTCCTTTCTTTGGCTTGATATCTGTATTTAGCACGTTTGTTTCAATGATGGTCTTCTTTAGCATCGCGGGTTGCTCACCTCTCCAGTTGGTTAATTCTACAGAGCCGTATGCACCCTTCAAATGTTCACTGCAGTCGAATCCATTAATGTTCAGTTGCGCTTCTCGTCCTCCTACTGGCAGGGGAGTTGTAAGAATTTGTCCCTGTAGAGATTATTTACTTGAACAGGTAGCGTTTTGTAGAAATTGTGTGTCTTAGCTGTAACTTCATCCTACTCGTACTTGAATCACGGTATTAATTTTGAAAATGAAGTCGCTTATTTTGCTTTTAATGTTTATTTCTTGCTTATCCGGGTCATATCGTTTTCTGATATTCTTCAGGTTTAGGTTCTCAGTGTGTCCATGTGCTTGCTTTCATATCAGAGCTTATTTGTGATGTTGACTGGTATATTTTCACCATTCTGTTCTTTCATATTTGTTTTATTCATTCCACTTTTTATTTGGCTTTGTTTTAGGTTGTTATCCTGCCCGATTTTTTTTCTTTTGTTTTCGTATCGCTCGTTAGTCATAGTTCCATAAAACCTGGTTTATTATTTACAACAGTAGTTTTTCATAGTTCATCTACCGCTGGTTTTTCTTCCGTTGCTTTCACCATATCTGAGAGTTCTTTTCAGTTTGCTTTGTTTCAGTCTAACAGTTATTGTAGGTGTATTAAATGATGGACAATCGGCCCCATATCCCTTTGCATCTTCTGGCAGCGAGCTCGACAACATCGGCTCTGAATGCGGCCCGAAATCTTCTTGGTAAGTTAAAAATAGAATTTTTATGCATATTTTTCTAGCGTTTGTAGTTCAGCAAGTGGAGAAAGTGCATGTGTGAAGTCAGACGACGGTATTACACCTCTGCATGTTGCGTGCGCTTATGACTGTTTGGCAATGGTACAGCTGTTAATGCATTATGGCGCTAATCCACTTGCCAAAGACAACAGTGGACGCACACCTTATAGTTTGGCAACAGGAAACACTCAGAGGTATGAGACCATTTCGTGACGTATTAGACGTTCTATATAAAACAATAATTTTAACAGGTTCCTTGAAAGAATTTTGGCTAAAAGTACAAGAGAACAGCGAGGAATTATCCGCCGACTGTTTGCTTGTCACAGCGTAGCTAGAGAAGATACCAAAAGAAGGCCTTTTATTGAGAGCATTCGAAGGAGGATACGGACATCTCTTGATATAATCCTTAGGAAACCACATTTGGTAAATTTAGTATCTATTAGAATTAATTAATGAAGCTTAGCTTTTCGGGCTTGAAGCGCTTATTCGTGTCTTTAATTAGCCGTTGATTTTTTGGATCGATTTATCAGTCTCACTGATATCCGTTGATTTCTCTTATCAAAATTTTACTCTATGGTACGAAATTTCTGAGTTTCTGCTCCATACCGCCAGTAACTCGAGATGCTGGACATTGAAGTACTTGACATTTCCAATATGGAGCGGACTGGCAAATTTTCTCCATTCAAAGGTTTTGGCAGCTACAAAAAAAAATACTTTTTGAGAACTACAGTGACCGAAGATTACGCATGGTGTGACCGAGTTTTTTACCCATGCATGATATAACCATCTTTTATGTTAACGAATAGCAACATCTTAGGATATCGTTGTTTTCATTAGCAATCAAAGAAGCTAATGTAATTAAATGGCGCTTTAACATGGCGAGTTTTACAGAATGTTCCACGAACCTAAATTTAGTCTAGGTCATATATTTTAGGGAGCACTAACAACTGAAGTTCCAACGCGCTCCTCTGTTTCAACTCCATCTCGAGATCAACCAGCTTTTCATTCTGCACTTCCTGGTTATCCCATTATTGATAGAATGCCACAGCCGCCGCTTTCTAAAACACGCTACAATACGCAGGGATTTACTACACCGTCATCCACGTCAAGACCAGAAGCGTATCCCTGGAATGTTTCGGAACAGTCGACTTCCCGACACTTTAATGACAAAAATTGGGCTTCTGCGACGAGAAGAAGTCGGTCTGTGCATACTTTTCTTTTATCTTGTTCAAATTTACGAACGGGCGTGATTCCTTACAGATCGAGCACATTTGCTGAGGCAAATAAGTCAGATGATCCTTCGGGTTGGTTGAGCGAAAACGATAACACCAGAGGTGGATTTCATGGGATTTTATTTCCACTGTTGTACGCAATTGTAAAGGTGTTTGTCAAACTACGAATTCTTTTCAGAGACACAGGATACGGATGTTTTCTTGACAGCCGATGAGAGTTTTGATTTTGCCGAACTCCAAAAGCGACTGGAAGAGGTTGCGACAGCATATTTTTTGAAATAATTACATTTTGCTCCAATCTCCGCACTCCGTGATTTTAGTCTGTTTAATCTCTTTAAAGATGAAAATTGTTGATCCTGTCGTCACACCTCATGTAGACGATGGTCAATTACGCAAGATCCGTCGACTCAATGATGAACAGTTAAAAGAAGAGCTGAAGAAAGTTGGCATAATAGCAGGTCCGATATGTGCCAGGTAAATTGTTGAAAAGTCTTAATACGAACTCAAACCACACTTGACTTATTATTGTTTTATTAATGAGTAACATGCGATCTTTAAGAGTATGGGCTGATTTGGTCGATTGATATTATTTATCTGACTAGGTAGAAATTATTATGCCGTGATATGGTGGATGTGTGTGAAATTGTTTCACCTAAGTAGTGTAAACAAGATAGGTCTATTTCTTTCGCTACTCGATCCTACTCGGCTTTCCTTATGCTCAGTCCAAAGTCAGCGTGGTTTCGGGCTCGAATTTCAGCATGCAGATCACAATTCTCGTACGCTAGTGCCTAATTTCTGCAACATCCGTACTCATGAAAATCGAAATCTGCTTATGTAGTTGATGTTTTTTGCTATCCTTGTACAGTGAAAATTTTTGAGAAAGCGAAGGTGTTTTATACATTTTTCACGTTTATGAAGAATTCACCACTGCTAAATTAGGTTATTCAATTCGTGCTCAAACTGTTTTTCTCACCCGGATAAATTTCTCCTGTAGATAGACATTTCTTTCCATTCTCCCTAGGAAGTTTGATTTCTGAAAAACTTGCACATTGATGTATATTACTTTTTACATTGTGGTGTTGTTCAATTTAGAACTCGTAGAATGTATGAAAAGAAATTAGTGGCGATGAGACGTGAAATGGATGCTACGAAAGGCATTCGGTACTCACGTCAGTTGGAATTGACCATTGTGGGCAACTTATCATCGGAAAATGGGAAGACGTTGGATGATAAGGTATGTCATTCATATGTGTGTGACTATTAGCTGTAGTTATGTGTATGTACGACCGAAGATAATACTACGTTTCATCATGAAATAAACACATCTCTACTCACAATGAATTCCACTATTTGATATGATAGAATAAAACTACTAAGAGTTATAGATCATCGCTAGTAAAGCGTTATTCACTTACCCTACTACAGTGATATTCCACTTTTTTCTGGAATGTTTTCGTTTGTTCGTATGCGATGGAAAGACTACTCCTACGATTGGTATACAACCCTGCCGTTGCCGATGTGCTTCTGAACGTCGAATTGTGTTGTGCAGAGTTTAGTGAGCATTAGTTACAAATCCATTAGGAAAATGAGTTCCATGTTTCCATCGTAAGCTCAGGTAAAACTAAAATAGTGCTAAATCGGTGACACTGGAGTGACAGAGTAACTGGTTACCAAGTGATGATGATTGTGAAAACACGCATCGCTTTTGAAATTTAAGGGATATAAATCTTGCTCAACAAGCGAACTAGTAGAGAAGTGGAATTCGTGTTAAGTACGCACAATTGTACATGATCTGTGAAGGTGGAATATTTAAATATTCAAATAAGTGTATCTTTTTCAGATGGTAAATGTAGTTGTTTTTTCATCTCCAAAATCTTGTTTTTCTTTCCTCATGTGGTAGACCACTGTTCTTGAATATCTGTTTCTTGATTATTCGCGCGTTGAAAGCTGTCTTGGTTTAGCTCTCGAGAGAACATGAAACACGGTGTGTTACATCAACCTCTACCGGGTGATCGACAGAGAGCAAGAGTTATCGCCATCCTGGTAGACTAATCGCGATACGCCAAACATAGTCCCAGAAAGGCTGTGCCAGGATTCCAGAAAAAACCTCGGAGAGAAAACCATAAGTTCTGAGATAGCCGCTGAACATGTGCGAATCATAGAGATGACTAGTTGCATGTTTGAGTTTGTTTTTATCCTCTGGCACAAGTCTGATAGGAATTTCCTCAGTCCTGTAAAATAATAATCCTAATAATTCCCAGGATCGACTTTCTATTAACCTCGGCATTGGAATATGAGTGTGCTGTTTTCTTGTTCAACAATAGCGAGGTTATTAAACAGCATACGTTTACTTCCATAGAAAAACACAATACAATACAACGCTAGCTGACGTTTCGGCAGTATCTCCTTCTTCAGAGCCTGGAAGGGTATACTGATATACAATCTACTGGGCCAAACGCGTCAATAACACTTACAAAAAGACGAAAGACTCTTTGGTAATTACATGATCAACAACTTCTCGAAAAACCCACCGCTTTTTCGTGACTTCCAATGAGGAAGTTTAGAACAGCTGATTATAGTCGCATGTGGTTGACGACTGCACCATCCCACATCAAAAATCGATGCGAACGTACGAGATCAGGTCGCGTATGACCTCCGGGCATTCGTCCCTGCTATTCATTGTAGGGTTTTTGGCATTGATCCAAAAAGCCTCTAGGAGTTTTCGTGCTGGTGTTTTGGACTCCTGTGCAAGGATATTGACTTTTACTTCAAAATCGTCTCCGCTATGCTTTTGTATCCTATAAGTGCCCCGCGATTGCTGAACAAGAAAACGACGCAACCCTGATAATCTTGTGACGCGGAGTCAGACGAACGACGACTGTATGTAGTAAGGCGCTTCACTAACGACTGTAGTAAATGTGACCAGGCGGGAAACAATTGACGCATTCGCGACGTTTTTGCGCGGAACTGATTTCCGATGACTAAAAGTAATTTAAATGAACTATTGGTTGATGAATGGTCACTGAAGAAAATTCGTAATTTAGAACATCGCCGTTTTAAAGAGGAGACACCGATGTAATTTAAGTACGGTATCTATAATTTCTGCAACATATTCGATCAATTTTAAATTCGTTTTGAGCCGAAGATTTTAAAAAGTTGAAAAACGAAACTTGAAGTTTTGATATTTTCTGAGCAAGCTGGGTAGCAGCAAACACTAATGATTGTGCGTAAAATCCCTACCACAGAACAATATCCCACTCGTTCAACTTTTTTGACGGTCGATAAAGTTTGAAACAAATAATAAAGGAGGACATATGTTCCATAGGTTACAGGTTACAGAAGGTCAGCCCTTCATCTTAGTAGAATGAGGAAACTATGTTCTGTCGACAAATATTTGCAGGTTCTATCGGCTTTTTTTTAAAATTAAAAATCCATTGTGAACTTATAGTTCGGTTTGAAATTAAAAAGGTCCATTGCTTTCGCGGAAATAAAAGAACGATGTTGTAGCGTATGTGTTAGACGATAAATTTCCCATATTTTTAGCATTCTAAGGTGAAGTAGAATATGAGTAAATATATGAAGACCCAAAAAAAACCACATGCTTGAGATTCTTATCACTGTATGTAATCCACTTGAACACACAGAAGATAACGAAGTGATTATTTAATATGTCACTGCATTTTTGTTGCTAATTCAGGTTCGGGAAGAGTTCAGGATGCATGGTGTGAATGCTTTTTGTTATCTTTTATTAGATCCCAGGAAGATAACGGATAGTGTGGAGTCGCTTGATCTTAAAGGATTTATTCCTTCAATTTTTTATGTCGGGAAAGGATCAAAGGTGAGCTACCTCTTCAACGCTTATTTTTTGATAGATAACCTAAGCTTAGAGTGGGGTTTTGGAGCATTCATAGTGCACAAGCCAACTCTGTGTTAGGAAGGTGCATTTCTTATCTACTGCATTTATTCAGTGGATCATTTTTGCTTGACTTCATGTTTTTCTTTTGTGACGGGGTGTTAGTAGTAAACAGTATGATATGACTATCGCCGTCTCAAGTTCTTTTCATAACATCAGCCTTGTTATTCCATCATGATTTGTGAATACTACTTTCCACGAGCTTACACAGAAATGCTAGTGAATTTCTGCTGTGCATCATGACTCGATGTTTCCACTTTGTGAATAACTTTAATTTGTTAAGTCGCTTTAAATTCAACCTTTAACACACACGTCTACCATTTATTTCGCGGAGGCCACAAAAAACGGTGGAACTCGCATAAAATGTGAACGTTGCAAAGCTGGTTTCTTCGACAATAAACGATAAATTTAAGGTAGTTAGAAGTCCTGTGAGGTCGAGAATATCACAAGCCTATAGAAGAGCCTTTACGTTATTCATTTAGAACTATTATGTTGCTACTGTATGCTAGATTGTAGTATATTTGGTCTGCCAAACACGTTACTGTCAGAGTTTGGGAGGACTTTGCTACTTTTGTTGAATGTGTTTCGGTATTTCTTGTAACCCACTACTCATAGAACAATCATGACCCATTGTAACAATTGGAAATGAAAAACGTTGAATTCCTGGTGAAAAAATCGAATTTATGTGCGCTACATAAAAGACGGTGCCCGTTTCCTAGTTATTACCGATAATTCTCAATAAATAAAAGACTTACTGGATTAACGAGTTGACGCACTTCAAGAAAGTGGTGCATTGTTGTAAAAAAAAAAAGTAACAACTTTTCTAATGTGGGTTTCCATTTGGAGTTTATCGAAGATCATTCCTTATCAAAAGTCCACTTTTTGTCGCGATAATTAAGCAAAGTGGGGGTTGTTGACGGAAATCTCTGTATTCCAATAGCTTCTTTCTCAGTTGGCGAAGTACATTGTGAGCTGAAATGTGCTCGTTGAAGTGTCATGCTTTTGGGCTCATATGTATTAGAAATAAAGATCAATAAATAGGTTCAGTCATTTGAAACGTCAGTGAATTGGTGGATTTTTTTGTAATTTTTTTTAGAGAAATTAGAGTCTTCGTTTTACCACTCTTGAGGACTACTGCAAAAGATTCATGTATATAAAGTGCCTCCTTTTAAGAGTATATCGGTATAAGAGTATAGTAGTTATATCGGTTTCCCTACTTATAATGTATTTCTTCTTTGTTTGCCATTTTATATGTGGTCAAGAACTGCGTTAACCCACGTCAGCTGACAACGACTTCAGCTTCTGTCTCGATTGGTTTTTCATCTAGAGTTACAATGAAGAAACTGAAAGAAGGTAACGTGGGCCGTTCAGTGCTTTTTGTCGAAGAGCCTTACGAAAGTGAGCTGCAGAAAAAGAGGACAAATGTGTTGATGATGAGGTTGGTGATGAATAGACACAAAATGTATTGTGTCAGAAATAGTGGATCTTCGGTGGTAGTCAATCTGGTATGGAATCCCAATTTTTTCTTTCGCGTCCAAAACGGATAAATTTTTATGAATTTTTTATTTAGGAATTTAGATGAATTTATCTGGTATTTAGGAGCTGGTTGCTTGTGCCGTTTAGAAGTAGAGTCGGCTTCCCCCACTATATTCCACATAAGAAGCACAAATACGGAACAGTGTTCAAATTATGCTACGATATTGGCTATACTTATGGAATTTTGCTGCGTTTAGGTACCGTTCTTGTGTAAAGCTCGCTCTAGGGACTAGTTGAGCATGATACCTTTCTTCTCGACTTTTCGGGAACAACTCTGACCATGGAGTCGGCGGTCTTCCTGCAGCGCGTTTGATATTTGGAGGAATCCAGTCGCTTGCAGCTTTTGTTCATCGGTTGTTGCTCAGAGGTATTGCGTGTCCGGCCCCGTTGGACGTGTAGAACGGCATGTAGAACTGCGTCTTTGATTTTTGATCGTTCACGTAGATCGGAGCTTCAGATCACCCTTCGCTTGCTTGACATTGAGTACTCCTAGCATAGTCCTTTCAACTGCGCGTTCTATAATGCTGAGTGATCTTTCATCCCGTTTATGTAGTGAGCAGGTTTCTGATGTATGTGTTAAAGCGGGAAGAGTCGTGGAGTCGAAAAGGTGGGCACGGAATCGGGTGTTCTTTGTTCTTCACTTCATACTTGATCTCCCTGAAAGCTCCTCAAGTCGCTCGCATCCTCGTCCTTAACTCTGGAGTTCCGTAACCTAGGTAGACATAACTGGACCATTCGACGATATTCGTTCCGTTGAGCGTACGTAACAAATCCATTCTTCATAAATGTCGTTTTTGTGAGATTTAGTCGAAAATCAATCTTTCCACAAGTGTAATCAAAGTCGGCTAGCACTCGTTCCTCCTGGTTAATGCTTCATATTATAAGAACGTTGTCACCTGTAAAGTGAACGTGGTTAATTGCCGATCATTAGTTATCACTTTCATGTTGTGCCATTCTATCTTGGCATAGCAATCTGGAGGGTGGTAGTAAAAAGTGTTGACTAGATATCGCCCTCTCTAATCCTTTAATTTGCTCCGGTGGTAACATCGCTGTAGAATGGTGATAGTTTACTGTTTTTCTCGATAAAGAAACACGACGCTGATATTACAGTATTCACCAATTAGCAATAACTGACTTTTCTGCGGTTTCGCCTTCTTCAGAGCTTGAAAAGGTTAAATTGCCAAGCAGTCTACTCGGTCAAATAGTCATCAGATAGGTAGAACTTATTACATAAATTTTCGTTCTCATAATAAACAGCTTCTTTTCAACACTCAATGTTTTTTTGCAAGCTTCGCAGCTATTTAGTAGAAACCAATCGCACAAAACTCATATGAGCGAGAAATGTGCCTGGCTGAGGTCAAAAGACGGCATTTCGGTTCTGGAATTTTCGCATAGCTGACCAAGAATCTTTACATGTTCGTGGGCAGCTTGTCGGTCTCTCCCAGAGTGGAAGAGGAGCCTGGTTGTTCGAGGCGAATTCCTAACCTCCTATCATGTATTTTCCAGTCTGGCTTTGAGCTGAATTGGCTCGTAGAATGCAAACTGCATACACGAGAACATACCCTAATACGCATGTTTAAACACGTCCTCATAAAAGTGGAAGGTATGTGTCAATCGATGGACAGGAACAGTGAGTCAATCCTCTGGATCGACCTGCGTCTCAGGAAAGTATGAGGTCGCTGTTGCTCCACGAATAACCCCCAAACCGTCTCCTGGGGACGATTTGCAATGCTTAGCGACTAATACGCAGGAGAATCTTCTATGAGAGAGATCCGAATTGAGTTACTGATGTATTGTGGTCGTTATGAACGAAAGCGAGTGCCTTTTTTGAGTATGGTGTGCTGGAGTTCAAGAAGAGCTCGAAATCAACGCACAAAATTGCTTCATTAATCCTGATGCAACTAATACTTTGACGATACTTCACCAACATTGATGCAATTGTCAAAGTTTGCAATTTTTTTGTAAAGAACAAGTGGTCTTATCGTTATCTATGCTACTTGTTCCAAAGAGCATGAATCACACACAATGTGAAAGCACTAGCCAGTTCATAAGAATCTTGTGATGCGTCATGAAGTAATGAATACTCATCCTTTATTTTTTTAATCGATGACCCTTGCATACCTTTTCGACCTGCAGTAAATTTTGCCATCCGCTTCGCTGTTTTGCAGTTTTATGCTGTCTTGCTTTATTTCCGTTAACGTCGAAGGCAATTATTTTTAACTCTATGGTGCTTTAGGCTCGTCCTTTCGCTCACCTTATTGAAGCGAAAAAAGAGAAGAATGCAAGGTCGCCGAAACTGGTACGCTTTTAAGACTGTCTTTCTGTTTGTTTTCTGTTTAAAAATGTCGTGAGTGAGCGGGAAATGCTGTCTTTTCTCTTTTCTTCTCTATTTTCGATAGTAAGGACATTTTACTACTCCAGTTTTTCTTGAGATATCTAATGCAAAACTTCAACGCATTAATTCTATATGGGATAGTGGGAACGGTGTGGTATGTCTTCAAATATACCACAATATTTCTGATGACGAAGCTTTCGTTCGCGAGGCTGCCCTTATCGACGCGATCAGACTGGAGAACTTGACAAACATGAAGGTATGGCTCATGCAGTTATAGTGTCATAATACTGGCTTACGTCGCAGATCCTTTTTTGCGCAAGCTTAATTTCTCGTTACTAAAAAAAATCGTTGCTGTCTATCTATCCGTGAGCCGCATCTATTGAATTGTTGGAAATGAACGTTACCAACGGAATTCCACATTGCTCATCCGAAAGAACGTGAAAATGAAATAACTGTTTAAAATAAAATCGTAGAATTATTTGAGGTTGATTACACATATCTTGCTATTGTACCCAGCTGTGAGTCTGTTCATAAAATTTTGGTTTGTCGACCTCGCAAATTTGGTAAAGTTGTTGGTCTGTTTGTACTCGTTGCTGTTCGTCTAAATTGTTATATACATGCATATATATATGTATATATATACACATGTATATACATATATATTTGAAAAAATAAAGGATAAAACCGTCGGCGTTGGTCAACTCTTGAGGAATGCTCCATGCATTCGACCTCATTAAGTATCGTTAGAGGTCATTGAATGCATATCTGGCTTTTACAGTGACTCGCGATGGCTTACCGATCTATCGGATCAGTGCTGTTATCCTCCCTGACAAGTCGTACCAGTTCGCCTGACCCCGGAGAGATAGAAGGCTTGGTGGGCCATGGACGCGGAGATCGATTCCACGTGTGTCGCGGTGGCGCCTCCAACCACTGCACCACACCCGCCCATATACATCTATATATACATGTATATATATACGTATATAATCTGATCCCTTTACTACATCTGTTGTGGTTAATGTCGAAGATGATGATATTAAATGAGAAGAAAACTGCTGTGTTTACCTTCAAGTCCACACGATTGTATACAAATGAAAGAAAACATGAAGCAGGCGAAACGAAGGACCTGCATGGTGTGGTGGTGAACGCGTTAGCTCCCGGAAAGGGTAATATCATGTTCGTTCCCTACCGCAAGAGTGCGGTTTGGTGTTTTGCAAATATCTCGGCATCATTGTGGTTTTAATTAAAAGGTAAGTTCAGTTATACATCACTTGTGCATTTTACGAGTTACTGTTCTCTAAATGAGGTATTAGTGTTTACAAATAAGTTCCATTAGTACCTGCACGCCGTCGACGGTCCAAGCTTCCAGCAATTTTTTTCGTTGTAATCACTCTGACTTTTAAAGAACAGAACGTCTTAGTCTGATTCCTCTAAATCGTTGTAGTAGAGACCATACTCACCTTAGCTATATTCACTTTACAAACTTTGACAATGCTAAGTTTTTTGTTGGCTGCCTACTATAATAATATGATTTCTGTTGACACTGATCGATAGAACTAACCAAGAGACAGGCGAAAGGATGAATCTGCGTGGTGTGGTGGTAAATGCATTAGCCCCAGAAAGAGTAGTAGCGCGTTCGTTCCCCACGGCACACACCTGCGATTCGGAGTTTAGCAAACATCTCAGCATCGTTGTGGTTTTATTTCACATAACACGCTGCCGTAAAAAATTATAATAGGTAGTAAATAAAAAGTTAACATTGAAAGAAAACATTTTTTGGCGGAAGACTGAATATGGCAATGTTTGAAAAGTGTTCGGTGAGTGAGAACATACTGCTTTTTTAAGAGTTCGTAGTTTACTCAGTCAAGTTCTCGCTCTGTAGATATTATTGAATTAGTTGTGAGGGTTCTGTATAGCGCTATACTATGAAATAGGTCTTTGATGTTTGGGGAAGTTCGTCTTTTGATATTTGTATGCTACCCCTTATATAAGCCAGTGTTTCAGGCTGGCGAATATCGAGGTAAAAGCAAGTCATGGACGCTTCCAATGAGAGCGGAATTTGGCACATATCAGTTGGAAAGAGCAAGGAGTGTTCTAAAAATAGAAGGAATACGACCTATAATGCCTCAAGCACTACCAGAGTCGCTATTTCCCTACGTTCCGAAAAGAACTTGATGTTAATGTATGTGTGTTCAGCAATAATAACTACGGGGCGTTTCCGATGGATAATTCGTTTGTTTTCATAAATGCTTTTGTTTTTCATCTGAAAATCGCTTCATCTTAGGAATTTCCTTAATGATGTTTTTGTAACTAATTTATCCTTTGGCCCAATCTCTCGATGACTTTTAGATCACAAGATCCTCTTCCGGTGTCCTTTCTACTTTTTAAAAGCATATAATGTAGTTCGCAAATTTTGGTGGGGGTAGTTTTCGAATCATGGCTACCGTAATGATTTTGTTGAAGTAAGACTTGTACTTTCCGGTTCATAGGATTAAGTTTGTAGTAATAACTGAATACAATTGGTTTAATCCATACTTGGTGTAACGATAGTTTCTTTGGTAGTCCCGCCGTAAATATTTTGTAAATATTGTATGTATTATATTGTAAATATAAAATCGTAAGCATTTACTTATGTACTTCAAGCGTTCAGGTAATTTCTTGATCTAGAATCCACTGCCACTCTCGAAATCACTGCTGTTGATAACTACTCTTTCGATTTAAGTATTCTTTTATTTATTCTTTGGCACTAATCCAACAGAAATTGGTAACGTATTGATTATTGTTATACCACATTTTGTATGAATGATGGATTTTGTTTCCATGGCTTACGAGTTAGAGACAAGGTGGGTGGTCCTGTGGTTATCGCTGAGATGTGGTATTACGGTGAACTACGTTTTTCCTAAAAACATGTTGTGAACATACCTGAAGAGTTTGGTTTTCTAAAAGTGCTTTTTTCATTCTGTTTCTTTAGCAAGTGGTGTTATATACTCTTGTAGTCTTATATCGTTATACAAATTTCTTTCTTATATTTGGATGGCCTAGTGTTTTATACCTTTTCTCTCTAGTACTGAGCAATTTTGACTTACCAGTTTGACTCATTTTGAATCATAGCGTCGTTACTTTTTGATTCCTTGGTTGTTTCATGTTTAAAAGTTAATTAAAATTTTATCTTGGAAGTTATCGAAGTATAGTAATAAGTTACTAATTGAACTAATTGGACGTGGTGTACAGATGAGTAGCCGTGAAAGAAGGCGTGAAATTCGAAATGCAGCTCGAGAAATTGTTTGTGGAATACCCAGTTCTCAAAGAGAGGAACTAGTGGATCTACCATCTGTGTCGACGATTCCGGCTTATGAATGTTTTGCGGAAAGGATATCTGTGCCAAGGTCAATATATTCGTTTTATTTTTCGCTTATCGTCCTTTTTAGAAACTACATGTTTTCTGCTAATGTCTTAGTACTAGTCAGTGACATATCACAAGACCACGTAGATAAATTACCATATTATCATAATGAGGTCCTTACTCGGCCTAGGAACACCTCCCAGCCACGTTGAGGCGGTAAAATGTTGAGAGGGTCAAAGATCCATTGAGAATAGAAATGAATTTCAGAAGCGTTGGTGGTTTTGTACAGCTGAACATAGGTTTTGTTGTAGTATTGCCATATGCACACTTTAGCTTCTACAAGTCCCGTATCGCCTTATTTTGTTGCTGCAGTAATGTTTTCACGATTGTGACGGTTGTAGTGCCAATCGATTTTCTAATAATCTTTGTCTTTTTAAGATGAATTTAAAGAAGGCTGTTCAATTAATTCAATTTTTTTATTCATATCCAACAAGTGTCTGTCGTTTCACGTGTCTTTTTCGGAAAACATTTTATTCATATTAGTAGGTGTAGGAGTAGTTTTCTTTTGGACCTGTGCGTGCCGGAACGTCCATATTTATGGATGAAATATGAAATTTACAAAGAAGTTCTCTACTACGGAATAAATGAATGGAAAGAGAGTGAATTGATGCGAATTCATTTTGCGCGAATTGCTGTCCAGCGTATGAATAATTGACTCATCCCGACTCCTAAGTGTTCGTTATATACCCACCATGATCTCATATCGTCTATTTTTAGTGCCATCGACAAGTTTGAACAAGATGCTCGAGTTGGTGATATTCTTATAGTGAAAGTGAAAAAATGTGATATTGTTGGTGCGTACGTGAAACCACTTTGTTTTGCCACTCGTATAAAACGAGACCTGGAGTGGTTAGACTTACAGGCAAGTTTTGTTTCATGTCCTCATCACGAAATAATATAATCATTGTTGGAATTGTAATCAACTTAACGCCTTACTTCCAAAGAACAGTAAGTCTTTCCCAATTACTGTCTATTAGTCAGAGTGAGAGCGCGCGTAGCGTAGTGCTTGGAGGAACCCTGCAATACACATGGGATCGACCCCCGTGCCGCAGGCTCATCAAACCTTCCATCTTTCCGGGGTCGGCAAATTGGTACCAGACTTGTCTGGAAGGACAGCAGCACTGGCTCGATACATCGGTAGACCACCGCGAGTCATTATTAAGGCCAGATTTGTATTAAATCACCTCCAACGATGCTTATTGCAGTTGAATGCATGGTGCATCCCTCAGGGAATGATCAATGCCAAGAGCGTTATCCTTTTTTAGCTATAGTGAGAAGTTCATTGTTCTGTTTCTCCGTCATGTAGTCATCGATTATAAAATCAAGTTATGTTTAGCTTCTTACGCCTCTTTCGGCGTTTTCGCGAAGAGTACTTGTTGGTCAATACCTTGAAGCTCGAATAATTAGTGTACAACCAGTGAAAATTGAACTTCAAGAAGTATGTTTCATTCATTGCGTTGCTGTTGCTGAACTAAATTTTTTTGTTAGGAAATAAATGCTAATAGTAACCTCCTGGTCAGGTTTCCTTCTTTTGTATTTTTCTTCCTCTTTCTTTATTTTTTCTCTTTTCCTTACTCTTTTTCATTTCGCTCTTTAATTCATGACTGTTGAGGCTCCGCCGTTATCGTCTGCCGAACTTCCCGAGTATTTTAGGTTAGCCAATCGTTTCTAATTATCGTTCAAACTCTGCGTGTTTTGCTATTCTTTTTGACGAGAAGTATGCGTGCCATCATAGTATGCTTAGAACATTACATTGTGGCTTTTCTTATAAAATGGTCTGTGTGTTTGAGTACGAATTTCGAAGGCGAGATCTTATTACTTCTTATAGGAATGGTCGTGAAATGGAGCCACATTCACAATTTTGGGAATACGTTAGTGCTACTGGATTGTTGCACAACACATACTTAGCTGAGACACTTCATCTTCCTACTAAGTCACCGTACTCGTTCCTGAAACTTGATGGGTTAGAAAAGGTACTTTGTTTGTTCCTACCTTTATGTTAGTTCCAGACTTTTGTTTCTACAGAGTAATGGACAACATTACGCCATCGTAGCTGGAAGTCTATAAATGATTTATGACCTTTTTTAAAGTATACCTTGGAAGATGTTTAATTCGCGGCGATCTCACTTGCTTCTTTCGTCTCGTGGAAATTTGGATAATCATAACGTACTAGTAGTATTATTCTTTCTAGGACCGGGCAGAGCCAGCATCACTAATTCGAAGGCGGCAAAATGAAATGCTCGCTGAGGAGCTCGTAGTTCGAGGTGTAGAGCAGATGCGGTCGGGAAATCGCGAATCAGCTATTGTCATCCTCACTCAGGCACTTGAAATTAATCCAGAGTGCGTCGAAGCACTTGTGGCCAGAGGGGCTGCGTGAGTACCAATTTAACTACACTGATGCCGTGCATGAATCGTACCACTGTATCGGATTCTGTCTCGGATATCAAAACAAAGCTCTGAGAGATTTCGAAAGGTTTTGAAAATTGCTGAAGTGACTCAGATTTATTTGATAATGGCTTTATCAGTGGGTGAAAAGGTGGGAGCGGTTTCTTTGACGACTTTTTTTGTCTATTTTGTTGTCCACATTCTAACTGTACATCGCTTATGTTCAAGTAAGAAAGAGAACGTCATGGTAATATATGTTACTATGCGTAATGTAAATTTCTGTTCAGTGACTAGCTAAATAACATCGTGTGTTCCGATTCACAATCCGGTGCTTGGACTAGCATGCGCGCGTGATTATACTTGAAACGCTGATAATCTCTTTGCGTCGTCTTGCGCAGATATTCGACTAACGGCCACTACACGTTAGCCGAGGAAGACTTTGACAAGGCGTTGGCGTTGCTTCCAACTCATACGAACGCCCGCAACTATATGGTGGAAACATTGGTGAAACATGCATCTCTGTAGGTTTTCCTTTGTATTTTATTGTAAATTGTCTTTTTTTATCAGTTTGCATCACTTTTGCCCATTTTCATCGTTTTAAATGTCATTACCTCTCAAAAGTTTACGGCTTCATCGTGGTTGGGAGGTGTTACTGGGTGTCGTGCTGCGACGTACAGTGAGATGATTGGCATGGTTTCTCAAACTGAGAAGGAGTTCGGCGTTTCCATCAGGAAGCCCAGCTAAGGGTAAACCAATGCTAGAATCCGCAACCTTCCCAGTATCAAACTAGTTGCATGGTGGTAAATCTCTGATCCACAAAGGCGACGACTGCCTGTGGTGGCGACAACCTGGGGAAGACTTGCCTAACTGACCTCGAGATTCAAGGGAACCACAATGGCTAGACCAGGAAGTCTCCAAAAAAATGGAAATTGTGTTGGGTCCTACCCAACCAATGAGGGCAGGCCGTTCAAGTATCTAAGTAATTAGACATTATTATGATGATTTGATTGGTTGATTATTACGTGATTTGCATTTTAGAGTTTTTAGAGGTTGCTAGTTAAGTGCGTTGTTTCTCGGTCTTTCGCATGTGCACTGTTTATATTACGAATCTGATTTTCTTAAAAGGAAGGTGTGATATAATCATCTAATATTCTTTGACAACATTGTTTTAGATTGGAGGTGCAGGGTGATTTGGAGAATGCAAAGAACAAGTTCAAAAAAGTGTTGCAAATAAAGGATGATCGACGTGCGAGAACAGCCCTAGCAAAATTTAATAGGAAGAAGAAGAGCCCATCAGTCGAAATCGGTCAGTTGTTATTTTTGTTCAGTTATTCGTATCCCTCTCTTCTAACATTTCCAGTCCTACGTTAGTTGAATATATTCTTTCTGTTACGTTAACCTTTTTCTTCGTTGATACGTGTTCTGTTTAAGTATTGTATTCGTGCCTTATCTTAAAGTGAGTTCTTGAAATTATAAGAAATGCGCAGTTTTTGTTAAAACTGTTCTCTCCGCTATGGTGCATTGAGATCGTGTCTAGTACTGCACATAGCTTTACTATCTCGAAAACAAATTCTAAAAATAGTTATTTCAGTAGAAATGGAGAGAACGGGGTCAAAATCAGGGAGGAACAGTCATCATAGTGACAGAATTCGCAATGATGTAGAAGAAGAGAAGCGAAAGCGACGACGTACCCAAGAGGCCGAACGCGAACGCAAGCGGGAGCGACATGACAATCGCGAGAAACTGCGTCAAATGGAGGAATTTATTAAAATGTTGAGAGAAAAGTAGTGGAAGTTTGTCATCATTGTTCGTTCCTGTTATTCTACGAATATTTTAAGGGTAATATTTAATAAAGTCTTTATTAAATCATTGGGTTGAGCCGAGTTTGTCTTTTATCGGTTTTTCCGTTATCTCATTCGTGTTGTTCAAGTATTAAATTTTTATCGCAGAGTTTGACTTACATCGTCTTCTCATTACTGACTTGCAGGATGTCTTGCTCGAATCATCGAATGCACACCGGACGATGTTTGTGCATTCATTCGTCATTACAGTGTTTGGATCTGGCGATACAGTCGCTTTTACTTAACCATGGTTTCCTCCCGTTCCCACTATCCCTCGTTCCTTCTACACCGCCGCCCGATCTCGTTAAGACGTTGAAGGGCATTGAGAAGGTAAGATGGAAAACGTATGTTATATCTTCTTGAAATACATATTGTCCGCTTCTTAATTTTCTGCACTATGTTTGTTTTAAATATTCCAGTCTATTTTTGCACTTTCTTTCTGCTCGGTGATTGATTACGGCTTTCCCTTATAGGTACGAGAGGTACTGCGTGGTGTTTTTCGCTCCAAACATCGCCGTTCTATACGTGAAGTGGCGATTTGTGTTGGACCGCACCCTCATCGCATACGTCACTTATATAGTAGGGCAAGATTTCTGCTATTTTTTTTTTTACTATTCTAAGGTGCGTAGATAAACGAGAGCTAGCTTTCCGATTTCGATCAGTTTTATTGAGTTTAATAACCACATGATTATAACAGTTCTAAATTCTGCTGCAGCGCAAACTGATTTGAGTTGTGCTAGCGATAGATGGTAAACGTGCAGGTTAATTTTTTATGCTCTGTAGTCAACTTTCCGATATTTAGGACATAGACATTGCCTCAAGTAATGGTCATATCCAATCTGTGAAGGGTAACAGAAGTTTGGGGTTTATAGATTGCTTTATGTCGGGTTACTATACATTAAGAATATGAATATGTCTATTTTTGTGGAATCGCATTCTATTGTGTCGTAATCGTAATGATGAGAGTGTTTGAATATCCTAATTATTTATTATGACATGGAACTGATCCCGTGTTGAAAAGAAGTGAAAGCCACTTATAGACTTTTGAACGTAGTCCTTATTTTGTTCTGAGTCGCAGAAGTCATAGAATGAAGAACGTTGAACTAAACTGATCAAATTTAAAACCTTGAGATTGTCGCAACGGATTTTCTGCGTTATAGAAGCCATGAAGTGTATGTACATTTTGCAACCCAAATTTAGAGTTATTTTCAATTGTAGATAGTGAAAAAGCTTAAGTACGCCATCGACGAGTCGCAACCTTCTGTATGTTGGAAAATTCCTTTACTCCCCGACTAACTGGTACTTTAGCACTAGTAGGTTGTTCTTGTGCGGATAACACAGTGGTAGCGATGTCCGTCATTACAAGCATAGTGCTAGTTCGATTCCGCTCCGAGCCAACAAAGCCTTCCATCTCTCCCGATTGGGGAATTGGTACCGGATTTCTCTGGGAATAAATCACTCTTTGTAATCCAGTTGGGAACACTCCAGCTCGGTTATCTCAGGACTCTAGGGAAAATTGCTCGACCAGCATTCTGAGACATTCAAGTTGAAATGAAAGTCCTCAAGCAGCAACCGAAGCCACATGTAAAAACTTGGAAGGTTTTCGTGGACAATGGATACGAGGAAACGAATCGAATGTGAGAAGTGCTGGGATCCTTATAGTAGATGTGAAAGATTCTCATTCTAGAATTCTTGAAACTCTCATGTTAACTTAGCAATGAATCCGGATACGTTGCTCTTTTTACTGTTGTCATTCATCTGTTTCCATTCAGTTCGATCAATTTTGCCGTTCTGTGATTCAGAGATGCCAGTTTCTGTGTGTGAAGGTGTGGACTCGCACGATGAACACTGTGGTTCACCATGTTCTGAATTGTCAGATGTGGAGAAGCGTCGGATTAATCGACAGTTGTTCGTAGTAGGTTTTAGTTAAATATTAAAGGGAAATACTTGGATCTTCAAGAAATTGTTTGAACGTCCCATTACTTGAATATGTATATGAAGCCCAGCTTTGAATTTTGTGTTCATGAAACTTTTCAAAATGAAAATGTCTACTGAAATATTCGTTCCACTAACCTACTAATTCTTTGATTGCGTTTTAGCATTTGATGCTGTTTAACTTTCTTACAATTGTAAAATGTCGTAGAACACATCATTTTCGTAGTTGAAATTCCTGGACGAGAGCACGGATATTCACGTTTAGCTGTAAACTGGTATTTTCAATGAGCAGCGATTTTTGGGAGACGCAGGATTAATTCCTTTCTTTTCACCATTAAGAGTCTTTTGGATGTAAATTATGTAAACATGGTTTGGAGGGAAATTTGCTAACCTGCAAGTAAGTTAGTTAAGTTAGTAACTGATATTTGTCAGTAAGCTAATAAACAAATAAGCATTAACAGCTTCTAAGTAGGAATCCAGAACAGAATTTTTATGGCCGTTGTTCTACGAAGAATTATGTCGTTGTATGATTTTAGGCATTTCCTCCAGAAGAACCACGTCATACTGGACAACGAATGTTCGTTTTCATACGAGGTTATGATAGTCTACTGAGGGAAGATATTGAGGAAAGGTAAGATCAGATAATTATAATAACATTCAAATTATTTTACTTCTTTCTTTAACAGCGTGGGTTGTTTTTTGTCCATTTTTTGTCAATAATTGGACAGGTTATTAATAATTCGATGTTTTTCTTCAGTAAGCAGACACGAGGTTGTTATAGGATTTATTAGGATACAATAGCTGACGTTTCGGCGGCTTCGCCTTCTTCAGAGCCGGATCGCCCATGTATTACTCTGTGCGGCTGCTATCCATCAACTAACTTAAATACTTACAACAAATAAACGGCTTACTAAACATAATAAACAAATAAATAAATCCTATAGTAACAACCTCGTGTCTGCTTATTGAAGAAAAACATCGAATTATCAATCAATGCCGAGGTTAAAAGAAAGTCGGTCATGGGAATTGCTACATGAAGTGCCAGGTTATTGATAGTTTCTGGATTTCAAATGTCTGGATTAATTTTGCTCTTGCTTAAGAATGTTGGTGGTTGTTCCTCGAGTGACCTTATTTGCATCGAATGTGACAGTCCAAGTTCATTTGTATCTTTCACTTGTTCACTTAAATCTTGTTGGTTATTAGGATGAAATGTTCACTTTATAACCATGAAGAAAAAAATCTTCTAGGATGAGACGAATAGTTGTTGTTCGTTTTTCTTGTTATACTTTTTATTGCTGTACTTGAGTCTGTACTTTTTAATATAAGTGGTTGCAACACCACACAATCTTTATGAAACAGACTGATCCCTTGTTGTTTAGTGATGTCTTCTTTCATGCTGATAATTGTTCTATAGTACAATTCGATCATCACGGCTGTTCGACACATCTAGATAAGTCATCTGAAGATTTGTACAGATGGATGCGTGTTGTGCCGTTCATAGCCCACGGTAAAATTTAGTGCCGTTGCCTATTATTAGCATCTTTTGCCTATTTATTTGATGCCTTTGTGTTTGTTTTTATAATTATCATGTATATCCTCACAGTAATGTGCATTTTGTTTGCCGATTTAGCTTCCGTATTGTTTATCACTATTATTAGGTTGTATTTCTGTTGAATCAGTCGCAATCATATCGCCATCTTATCATAGGATTTGGTCTCACAGGGTTTTCTAGGCAGGTGCCACTCGTTCACTAATTGATTGCTATTTTGTTAATTTCGTTGATATTCTTTATTAATCATTCCAATGGGTGCCATACCTTAAGCTCACTGGCATTCTTTAGTTATTCACTCTTAATATGACTTCATTTAGCTTGGAACAACTGTTGAATGTAAGTTCATCAGCATTGATCTCACTCTTCTTGTGAGGACATAATAAGTCTTTAAAGGATCTGTTATGTGATTTATGTTTACAAAGTTCTCATCAATGGTGTTTTACGGAAGTAATAAAAACTAGGAACAAGTTGTATTTATTTGTAATTATGACTAGTCACCTCTACAAAACACAGGTGCAGAGGTGCACTGTGGTGCAAATGGTGGCTGGTTTGATATAATGCCCTAGGAAACCAAGCACTCTATTCTTCCATTCTTATTTAGGTGATAACATAATTGACTAGGACGATAGAAGCGCTGGTTTAATTTACCGATAGGATACCAGCACGTACAGGCTGAATATGCATTTAATCATCTCTTCTTACTATGAGTGGAGCTGAGTGCTTAACGCATCTCAAGTGCATACATGGACACCGAATGGTTTATTCATTGTTGACCTAAAGGTGCAGAAAGTCTTTATCACAACTAATTTGGCGAATCACCAGTTTTTTGTAGGCTTGCAACCACATTTTTATTATACAGGTGTTAATTTCAACGATATGCTAGTAGGTCGTTGACATCCCTAACGAGAAGCTGAGAAGTGTCCTACACGCCGCTATATGAGAAAGTAAAACCGGGAACTACTTTGCATAGAAAGATCTTCGAATAAGCGAAAGTTAGAGACTTTTGTGAGTCTTCATGTGTCGATGAAGATTTCCAGATTGCGTGAAGCGCATGAAGCAGACGTCACAGCAGTACGGTTTTTGTCCTGAACAAATTAATGTTAATAGTGAGACTTTATGAATAGCTTTTCTTTTTCCTTTTAACCCTTTGGAGGCTTCAGGTTATAGAGCTCGGACTGGTCTCTAAACGATGTTTTTGCTTTGTTGAATCATACTCTACCACCTTTCCATCTATTTCTATTTGAAAGTTCAAGATTGACTTCCACATACGCCACCATTTGACTAAATTCTTGTCTACAGAAGTGCTCTCTGAACGGTCAGAAGCTCAACGTCTCAGATGAAGTACGGCTTGATGAAACGATTCATTAATGCATAATAGTGTACTCCTACCCATTATGCATGGTTTTCAGCAATTTGTGCTATGAATATGGAGTTTTTTAAACTAACTTCCAGCTAACCTCGGCATTACCTTTTTATTGATGCAAGCTTAAAAGGGGTTACCATATTACATTACAATGGCTCACGTTTTCGTTAACTCCACTTTCAAGGCTTCACTGATTTGAGTCAAGTGTCCAGGCGGTTCCTTCTAGCGATATCGATCTTCGTAGTCGCTACCAAGTTAAGCAATCTTATTTCGATTGCGGAGGATAAACTGTCATCATAAAAATGAACAGTCTTGGATCGAGCATGAACCAGTTGTGAGCACTGCTTACTGAGTTCACTTCGATCAAGTAGCCTGAACCCGTATAGTACAAAATGGCAGTGTTGAGAAATCCCTCTTCACTCGTGAAGTATTCCACTCCAATGGATTCGCCTCGATGGGAGTGAGAGAAACTTCATCGTGAGAAACAACTGCTGCAAACATTTGATTTGATTCGTATCTTTGGGACCCTGACGAAATTGACAGCACCAGAATGTTTCCCACAAAGCGCATTTAGTAACAATTTCCTTCAAGCTTATGTCAAACAACAAATTGTGCGCTTGTATTCTCAGAGGGCACGCCGATTCGTTATGGTTAGGTTTATAGAATGCTTGCATCACCTGTATGAGTTCTTAGATGCTTCGTCAGAGTTGAGCTGTCTGTGAATTTCTTATCGCAATGATTGCATTGATACGGTCGTTCGTTAGTGTGAGTCCTAAAGTGGTTAGCATTATCGATCACTTCGGTACTGATCGTTCAGCTCAACTTAATTTTTTACCCATGTGCTTCGCAGGACTTTTATCTCTACCCTATCCATTGGTTTGAGTACTCTCTTAAATTTCGTTGGTTGAAAGGTTATAATATTTAATCAAAAATTGCGGTTTTTAGTTGCTTTATGATGTAAAGTTTACTTGTAAGGCGCAGTTTCACTCAGCTTAAAATTCCCAATGAAATTCTATTGCTAATAAAGACGTGGTAGTGGTACGCAACGACCAGATTCTCCTAGTACGGTACTGAGGTCTCAAGTAAACATTGGGCAGAAAGTAAAAACACTTTTGCAAACTTCTTGCATCCGAATAAATAGTTCATAACAGTGAAGCTACGCTGTATATCTGAAACAAAAGTCTTCTATTCCTTTCAGTTCACATATCAATCAGTAATTTGGAAAGCCCACTGCTCAGTACTGAATGTCCTTAGCAGATTATTTGAACGGAAAATATCCGACAATTACTGGAATCTTCGTTGGATAAGCTCATTAATCCAAAGATGGTAATTGTTTGTGTTAGCCACGTGCTGCGCTGCCTGTGGGTTACCATAGTTACCTACCGTAATCTCCACGTACCGTAGCCAACTGTGGTTGGTTATTATGCACTAGCGATCTCATTTTTCTTAATTGAGTCATTTTCCAAGAATATAAGAAAATTAGGTCGTTTTTTCAAAATGCAAGGTTTATTGGCTTCAAATGAACACGCATACGGCATTGTGAATGAAATGCCATGACAGGTTCTCCTGGAGCGATGTTAGACGTTCATATAAACTATTGGATCATGAACACCTATATTTCTAAACACTTCTGCACACACGATATGCATTACTATTTGTCGCACCATCTTTAGTTCAGAGAATGATTCCGATGGAGCTGGTAAAGTTTCCATTCAGTATTTACGCAACACGGAGTAGTCCTATGAATCCATAGAACACAGTTTCATTCGTGGAAAGGACCTCCAATTTTATTGCTTATGGAAGAAGGTAACCCGCGAGTATCTTATTGGATTGTACTTAGTAGTACTAAGCGTTGTTCGTAAAGCATTAATGAGTTGTCCTTTTGATTACAGAACAACACCATGGCTCTTTCAAATCAAGGGCACGATTCCTATTGCTTATGGCAGGAAGGAGCTACTTGTATCCTACATCATACATCTAACTCACCATGAGCTGCCTTTGAGGAAGGGTATCCTGACATACTTTACTAGAATATACGTGGTTTTTTATGTTGTCGGTCGTTTCAAACAGTCTTCTATACATCCTGTCTATTAGTTGTAGGCATTCATCCGAGTACTAGTGCGCAGAATTGAATTTGCGCTTTTACGCCATGCCTATATATATATGAACACGCATGAATACGCGGTAGATATGCAAATGTCTATCCAACAAACTTTGTAGACACAAAGTAGTAGGTAGCAAACAGAAAGCATATGTTTATTTTAACTGCGTTTCAGTTTTAGTATAAGGCAATTTTCGAAACACGGGCAACCTCGATTGTTGTCTACAGGAGAGTATGTATCCTAGGCGCTAATTGGCTTAATATTCCACACATAAGAGAATATATAGACGCATAAATACATGGACATACACATGGATATATCTATACGCCATCGTGGTAGTAATAGAGTGAGAAATTCTTGATAGCAGTTAATAAGAAAGCTTCTATAGGGGTCAGGCTTAACCATTTGAAATGGAAGGGGGTTACTCTTTTAAATTTTGTAAATATTAACTTTCCTTGAGATATTTCACGAAATCTTTGGAAGAACATGACCATTTTTTTCCTTCACAAACGATGAATTGAACATGGGAAATATAGGGAAGGCTCGGGATATTTTCTTCCAACTGTTTATGCTCTCACAATGATGCTGAGGTATTTGCAAAACTCCGGACTGGAGGTGTCTGAGGTGGGGAACGAACGCGCTACTACCATTTCCTTTGTTTATAGTCTAAAAGATTGTTTAAATCATAACAAAGATGTTTATTTGACCTAGATTACTTCACATACTTGATTTTTCGTTTTTGCAGACAACACTAAAACCTGCACATTGTTTGTTGCCTTTTTTGTCAAATTGTTATAGTAACGTAAAGTTCTAAAACTGAATGATGTCATGAGCCATGAAGAAAGCAACAAATGATGAGGAAAGATCTTTTATGTAGCCGGTTGTAGTCTCACAAAAGCTTAATTCAATGGATCTTTATCGGTTAAAGAAAAGGAGGAATAGTCATTGATCGATATGCACAGAATGAATGGCTTAGATTTAGGCCACGTGAAGATCAACTTAATAAACATTTTTGATAGAATTCGCTGTCGTAGGCCTCAAGAAATAAATAGTGAGCAATTATGAACCAGGAAAAAACTGATAAAACGAACACGAATCCGAATATGACAAGACTTCGATGCTCGCATCGAACAGCAGTGACCATACAGTAACAACTAGAGATGCTTACCGTCTATGGGTGACGAGTGACGAGCTTTGTGAAAAACGTCGACTGCAGACAGGACAGGTGAATGGCCTCTCACCTACAATAGGTTCTCGTGGTTCGTGAACCAGGTATTTTTAACAAATAGTTGTGGCTTTTAAATGTTATAGATTTAATATAATAACATTCATACCTAGTAATATATTTAACACAACAGATCGTGTCACATGGATGGAATAATGCCTTTGTGCCGACTTTTAAAAAAGGATTGCTAGCATTTTATTATTATGTGTATAATACTATATACACTATATATATATATATATATATATATATATATGTTTATCCCAAAGGTTTATCG